TATATATATATATATATATATATAAATATATGTGTGTGTGTGTGTATAATTGTCTATTATTTTTTTTACAAATAATTTTTTGTAACTCAACCAGAAAGTAACAATTCATAAGACTGGTCATAACAATGTCATAAAACTTTTATATTGTAGTTATTTACAATACTGCAAAACTCTACTTCTATGCAATATGTGATTTGAGGGTTTGATCGAGCTGTTTTATCTCAATGCATCTTTGACCTGTGAGATCATTACACGATTGCATGATCTGTCTGCGTTTGTTTCCATTACATATTGCATGTCTATTTTGGGTCTCAAAGAAAACGGATTACATGTCTATGTCACACAAATACGTGTTTGTACGGAAGTGGGTCGGAGGGCCTGAGACTGTGCCGTTGTGATAGAGGACACTTCTACAGAAACAGTGAAAGCAGCAGTCCGAGCGAGAGAGAGAGAGAGATCCCAGTTGTGTGTGGCGTTCGTTCTGCAGGTCCGGCTGTATGGAGATTGTGGTTGGGCTGTCTGTCCCCCTCCTCCCTCCACCAGCGCTTATGTAAAGGAACAGCACAGCCGGGGCAAGCAGGAGCTATTTATAGCACAGCACTGCAGAGCACTCACTGGTGGAGGGCGTCACGTGTGTGTGCGCCACCGAATCAAAGGGAGTATCCCGCCAGTGCACGTAAACAAAGGAAGGTCAGAAAGAGAAGGTGAGGCGCAGAAAGGGCCTGTGTGTGTGGGTGTGTGTGTGGTTATACATATCAGAACCTCATAAGTGCTTAAAGTGAATAAACATTCACTGAGATACAGTGGCTCTCTCTCTCTCTCTCTCTCTCTCTCTTCCTTCCTTCCTCTCGCTCTTCTTTTTTCTGCCTTTTCTTACATAGATACTCAAACAAACACGCACACGTGCAGTTGATAAAAATAGCAACAGATTATGAATTACATTTTTAGCATTTCAGGTTTCTGTTTGGAGAGTTTGCCAGCATTTCGCTAAAAATAGAACAGCACAACCGCTCAAATCTATGAAAACCAATAGTGATTATTAAACCATCATCATGCTATTATATTGAATACAGCTTTTTAATATGATTTACAACAGACCGATATCTTGTGGCAAGTATGTTACTTCAATGTAAATTATTTTTCAAAGTTGTAAATAAAACAAAGTATAACTTATTGAAGTATGCTTTAGAAGAAAATAAGTCTTTCTACTTAGAATTTCACATTTAATTGAGTGTTGCTTGTTGATTCTTTGTAGGGCTGTGCGATATTGAAAAAAAAATGCGATCCAAGTAGCCTATTATTAAAATGATTCAGATATCGCACGCCGTTGCGATATGCATATCGCGATATTTGCGTTTTCAATATTTCGGTATTTTCGATATATCGTGCAGCCCTAATTCTTTGTAATTATTTGTGAAAGTTACTAGCAATTTATGTTTGAAAATTATTTCTACACAATTCTGTAAGTGTAGTAGGTTACTTTGAGGTTAAGGTCTACAATAAGGAATTTTTATTTTTTAAATTATGTAATTTGTTTCCCTCTTGTCTCACTGATGGAGGATTATTTTAGCAACATTTTTATTTTGTGAAAATATTTTTTAAACAGTTTTGCTAGAAAACAATGACATGATGTGACTCATTACTGATTTGGTTATTATTTTCAATGAATTCAAACTAAAGACTAAATTAATTAACATTGCAAAGAATATAAAAGTTATTAATTATCATTTGTATTCTTATTATATTTTAATTTATTTAGGCTACATGTATGCATTTGACATGCAAAACTTTACTTTTTTTTTTTTTTTTTAGTTTGTGCATTTTCATGATCATGCATTGCTAGCACCTACAGGAATTTATACTTTTCATTAATAGTTCGGGCTTTCTATGAAAGTGCAATTAAATCATTGCAACAAGTGAAAAGCAATACTCCGATATACAGTGGTGTGAAAAAGGTTTGGCCCCCTTCTTGTTTTTTTAATTTTTTTCATATTGGTCACACTTAACTCTTTTTAACGTCAAGCAATTCTCTGCTATATGCGTCGAACTAAAACTTTGACCTTTTGCAACGTTTTGATTTAAGTAGCCTATTATTAAAATGATTCAGATATCGCACGCCCTTGCGATATGCATATCGCGATATTTGCGTTTTCAATATTTCGGTATTTTCGATATATCGTGCAGCCCTAATTCTTTGTAATTATTTGTGAAATTTACTAGCAATTTATGTTTGAAAATTATTTCTACACAATTCTGTAAGTGTAGTAGGTTACTTTGAGGTTAAGGTCTACAATAAGGAATTGTTATTTTTTAAATTATGTAATTTGTTTCCCTCTGGTCTCACCGATAGAATAATTATTCAAGCAACATTTTTATTTTGTGAAAATATTTTTTAAACAGTTTTGCTAGAAAACAATGACATGATGTGACTCATTACTGATTTGTTTATAATTTTCAATGAATTCAAACTAAAGACTAAATTAATTAACATTGCAAAGAATATAAAAGTTATTAATTATCATTTGTATTCTTATTATATTTTAATTTATTTAGGCTACATGTATGCATTTGACATGCAAAACTTTACTTTTTTTTTTTTTTTTTAGTTTGTGCATTTTCATGATCATGCATTGCTAGCACCTACAGGAATTTATACTTTTCATTAATAGTTCGGGCTTTCTATGAAAGTGCAATTAAATCATTGCAACAAGTGAAAAGCAATACTCCGATATACAGTGGTGTGAAAAAGGTTTGGCCCCCTTCTTGTTTTTTTAATTTTTTTCATATTGGTCACACTTAAAAGATTCAGATCATCAAACAAATTTTGCAAGTCCTCAAGTCCTAATGGTTTCAATTATGGCAAGTCGTCCAGGTCCTGAAGCTGCAAAGCAGCCCCAGATCATCACCACCATGTTACCATGTTTGACTGTTGGTATAATGTTCTTTTTATGAAATGCTGTGTTGGTTTTACTCCAGATGAAACGGGACACACACCTTCCAAAAGTTCAACTTTTGTCTCATCAGTCCACAGAATATTTGCCCAAAAGTCTTGGGGATAATCAAGATATTTTTTGGCAAATGAGAGACGAGCCTTTGTGTTCTTTTTGGTCAGCAGTGGCTTTTGCCTTGGAACTCTCCCATGGATGCCGTTTTTGCCCAGTCTCTTTCTTATTGTTGAATCATGAACACTGACCTTAATTGAGGCAAGTGAGGCCTGCAGTTCTTTAGATGTTGTTCTGGGTTCTTTTATGACCTCTTGGATGAGTCGTCGTTGTGCTCTTGGAGTAATTTTGGTTGGCCGGCAACTCCTGGGAAGGTTCACCATTGTTCCAAGTTTTCTCAATTTGTGGATAATGGCTCTGACCATGGTTCGCTGGAGTCCCAAAGCCTTAGAAATGGCTTTATAATCCTTTCCAGACTGATACATGTCAACTGTTTTGATTCTCATCTGTTCTTGAATTTCTTTAGATCGCGGCATGAAGTGTTGCTCTTTAAGCATGCTTCACGTTGTCAGACAGGTTCCATTTAAGTGAATTCTTGATTCAACAGCTCTGGCAGTAATCAGGCCTGCGTGTGGCTAGTGAAATTTAGCTCGGCTTTCTAAAATAATGTGGTTAATCACAGTTCTTTCATGATTTAACAGGAGGGGGCAATAAATTTTTCACGCAGGGCCACGTAGGTTTGGACAACTTTTTTCCCTTAATAAATGAAATCATCATTTAAAAACTGCATTTTGTATTTACTTGCATTATCTTTGTGTAATATTTAAATTTGTTTGATGATCTGAAACATTAAAGTGTGACAAACATGCAAACAAATAAGAAATCAGGAAGGGGGCCAACACTTTTTCACACCACTGTATGTATGCATGCATGCATGAGCATTAAACTGAAACCTGATCCTGGGCCTAAGCGAGACCCTGTGATCTGACCCGACCGGTAATGTCAAATTTGCCTTTTTTAATTTCGTGCCTGCAGACCCAGATGCAGGGATTCTCACAGCTCAGACTTAAAAATGTAGAGTGTGTGGGTGTATGCAGAATGAGTTGCATTAAAGTTAAAACAAACATTTATTAATATTTATTTTCAAGAATTACAAGTCCAAACCTAATGCAAACTAGATTTTTTTTTTTTGTGAAAGTTTTTCCATTCTTGTCAGACTCTGATCAGACAGTCCTCTTTCTATCAACATGTTCAACATTCAACATTTTCTGTAACTTTAAAAGTTTTGTGGATTAGAAGAGGTTTTGTATATAACAGGAGAAATGCAAGCTCCAAATAGCTTTCTCGGTCTAATTCAGTGGTGTAAGAAACCTAGCACCTTTAAGCATGCTTCACGTTGTCAGACAGGTTCCATTTAAGTGAATTCTTGATTCAACAGCTCTGGCAGTAATCAGGCCTGCGTGTGGCTAGTGAAATTTAGCTCGGCTTTCTAAAATAATGTGGTTAATCACAGTTCTTTCATGATTTAACAGGAGGGGGCAATAAATTTTTCACGCAGGGCCACGTAGGTTTGGACAACTTTTTTCCCTTAATAAATGAAATCATCATTTAAAAACTGCATTTTGTATTTACTTGCATTATCTTTGTGTAATATTTAAATTTGTTTGATGATCTGAAACATTAAAGTGTGACAAACATGCAAACAAATAAGAAATCAGGAAGGGGGCCAACACTTTTTCACACCACTGTATGTATGCATGCATGCATGAGCATTAAACTGAAACCTGATCCTGGGCCTAAGCGAGACCCTGTGATCTGACCCGACCGGTAATGTCAAATTTGCCTTTTTTAATTTCGTGCCTGCAGACCCAGATGCAGGGATTCTCACAGCTCAGACTTAAAAATGTAGAGTGTGTGGGTGTATGCAGAATGAGTTGCATTAAAGTTAAAACAAACATTTATTAATATTTATTTTCAAGAATTACAAGTCCAAACCTAATGCAAACTAGATTTTTTTTTTTTGTGAAAGTTTTTCCATTCTTGTCAGACTCTGATCAGACAGTCCTCTTTCTATCAACATGTTCAACATTCAACATTTTCTGTAACTTTAAAAGTTTTGTGGATTAGAAGAGGTTTTGTATATAACAGGAGAAATGCAAGCTCCAAATAGCTTTCTCGGTCTAATTCAGTGGTGTAAGAAACCTAGCACCGATACCCACAGCTGCAGAGCCATTGCACTCAACAGGACATGTGAAACGTGTTCAAACATTCCCATATTGTTCAGTGTGTGTGAACTGGATTTACTGGTTTTGGAATAGCTCCAGGGACAATTTCCCTGTTTTCTGGTCTAGAATCCACCTTGTGTTCCTAAACAGTGTACGAAGCGCCCTTCGAGTACAATCTGGGCTTGATTATCTTATCTTATCTTATCTTATCTGTGGTACTGAACTTTCTCCAGACTCTGAAAAACCACGATGATAAATCGGATTAACAGCGTGAGAGATATTATTTTCAGCATAAGAGCAACCAAGGGAGATAAAAAAAAAAAAAGTAAATAAACACACACACAAGTTCAAAGAACTATTATAAAATGGATAATTTTATCTCTGAAATCTGATTGGTTAAGCCAATATGTTATTGTGCAAAATTTTAATGTCAAAAGATTCTACAGTATATATGTTATATAAAATTACTATATAATATTTTTTAGTTTAGCTTTACTATGTATGTTATGTAATATTATGCAAAAATGAGTTTGTTTAGTCGCCGAACTCGCCGTGCCATTTTTGTTATGCCTAAATCAACCAGTGGAATTGGATTGTTCTTCTTCAACCTTTGTGTCAACACTGATCCTACGTACAGCGTTTAATATGTGCAAAATAGCACAAGACGGAGGTGGGGATTCGCTGCGCACATCTTGTCAATACTGTATGTATCCTTGATGGCAGATAGACAGCCTGTCCTGCATTTTTGCCACACAAACACCTCCTCAGCTCGCCCGATGCTGGTAAAGAGCTCGTTTTTATAGTCATGAGATGTATAGTCACTGTCTTTTTAGAGTGCTCTGCTCACATTGAGAGAGATCGTTTTGTTTGATTCTCAGAGAGATCACTGGATTGCAGTTAGGGAGGAGGACTTAAAACTCAATGAGGTTTAATACAGCCGAGCAGACATCTGTCCTCTAGAGGTGAACATTGGAAATGCATTAGCATGTTCGGTGAAATGTAGGTGTATATAGGGATGCATCAGTTTTATTGACGCTTTATGAATCAGCTCATGCCAAAGATGTGTTTGATACAGAAGAAGCATCTGCAGCTGACAAGCAGAAGTTGCTGTCACTCAGTGTTTTTATTATGAGTGGAGATCTAGTGCTGGATTTTGTGGTTTGTAATGCTTTGCTGACCGGTTGTTATCAGTTTTTAAAAGCAATAATGTTCAAATGATGAAGTGTTTTTGTTCCAGTCTGTTGTTTTTTTCCATGCATCACTGTCTGTTCTAATGAATCCACAAAACAAAATGTGAAGAAATACGTCTCTGCTCCTGATATAAAATACTGATGTACAATGCTCTGTTAGGTCAGATTAGAACCTGGACTCATCGGTCCCCACCACGTTTCTAAAAATAAAGTAACGAATCAGTGTCACCCAAGGTTTCATTTACAATATTAAAGATAATATAATCAGGTAAATATGAAAGACTTTTATTAGATCAGTAATTGGAATTGAATATTTAATGGCAAAAATTTAATATATTTATTGCACTAAAAATAATTTAGTTTTGTTTGTTTTTCTGTGGCATGTATTTCACCCAGAATATAATTTTAAATATTTAAAATAAGTCTCTTATGTGCGCCAAGGCTTTTTTTTATCATCAAAAAATGCATTAAAAACTGTGATATTGTGAAATATTATTACAATTTAAAATAATATATAATAAAATAATTAAATACATTTTAAAGTTGATTAAAATAAATCAACAGAATAAATAATATTTATTCCTGTGGTTTATACTGCTTGTAAAAGCCAAAAATGCTTTTTTTCTTCATGCTTTTCTTCATCTTTGTCTTTACAGCTTTCTTGACCGGATCGATGCAGTAAGACAAAGCGACTATACTCCAACAGACCAGGTACTGTTTCAGATTTTTCTAGATGAGAAACTGCATGTGAGACATTTATTTTCCAAAAACTGTTCTCCCCTAACACACTTTCACTCGATCGTTCTTCTTTCAGGACTTGCTTCGCTGCAGAGTGTTAACATCAGGGATTTTTGAGACGCGATTTCAAGTTGACAAAGTCAACTTTCAGTGAGTCCACGTCTAAGAAACGTATTAAAGATTATTGTACATTGGATATTACAGCCACTGCTGCCAACTAATTTTCAGGGGAAGTTGCAAAAGGAAGGTCGATTTGTTGCTAAAAGTTGATAAATGACGTTGTGATGTCATTGCGTGATGACGTCATTAAGTAATCATGACGCAAAATTGTGTCAAATCAAATCTCAGTAAAAAATATATTTTTATATGCTAATTTAGATTTGTTTGTAAAATAATATAAATGCATAATATAATGTTAAAATATAAATAACTTTTTATATATAACATTGAATTATTGAACTCTTTCACATTTTTGAACTATTACAAGTTTTTTTTTATTATCTAGTAAACTAGTGAAACTACACATTCGTAACAATTAGTTTTAAGCAGTGTGTTAGTAGTCAGTATGCTACACTCTAAGAAAAGAATTCACAGGTTTTTACCTGCATTTTAAATTTTAAATTTTGTGTTTCGGGTTAAAGGGTTACAACGGATAATGGATAACGGATAATGTCCTGGAAAATTACTAGAAGCCTACCTTTTCCATTTTTCTAGATATTTTTCTTACAGTGTACTAACTGATCAACAATCACAGGTACAACAAGGTGTATCATAAATGAACAATTATTAAATTATTATTATTATTATCAAATTGAACAATTGCAAATAGCAATAATTTAATTCACGTGATGTGTGTACTGCTAGGCATCTTTGGTTTCCTCTTTTTGTGAAATTTAGATGGAAAATGTGTGCCTTTTAATTAGAGCCCAACCGATATATCGTTTTGCCGATATTATCGGCCAATATGAGCCTGTCGCCAATATATCGGGGGATCTGGGGATCCCTTCAGCTCAAGGAATCCTCTCGAACGCGAATCGAGTGTACGTCTAGAGGCCCGCTTTCGAACAAGACCACCCCCAGTCAACACTTTCGCTTCAGTAAGGAGGTCTCTTGTTCAGGCAGCAGCATTCAAGCATTGTCTTATTCGACCGTAAGTGCCCTGCAAAGTGGACTTCACATGAAATTCCGCCATGATTCCAGTTCCAAGGGAACGTACACGTTACATTCAAAGGGCATTAAAGTGCACGAGATGTGAATTTATATTGTATTTATTTACAGATGTATATTATGTCACACTTCACACTTTCGTCTGTGTGTGAAGACAGTAGCGCAAATCCGTGAATGAATGGTCCGAAGTGAAATAAACTTCAAAGGAATAAATTTGAATAGAATTTAATTGAATTAAAGTTGAATAAACTTTAACTTTACGGTTCAGTGAACTGATGTCAGACTCATTTTGGATAATAAAGTTTATTGTTAAATGCTCTGCCTCCATTACATATCTTTGTCACGTCATTATAAGTGTTTGATCACCACATTTGAGTGATCATTGCAAAAAATGTGTTTATATATATTCTGTTTATGTATATACTGTATTCTATATATAGTACCAGTCAAATGTTTGGACCCTCGAATGGGAAAGGGTCCAAATTTTGACTGGTACTGTACTATAATATACACAAAGAATATCGGCCGATATATCGATATCGGCCTTTTTTACTCCCTAATATCGGTATCGGCCCCAAAAAACCCATATCGGTCGGGCTCTACTTTTTATTGTTTGAGTCACTCATCAAAAGTTGCTAAAAGTAGCCAAATAAAATTTAAAAATAGCTAAATTTGTTGCTAGGTGCTTTTGGAAGAAAAAGTTGCTAGGGTAGTCTGAAAAGTTGTTAAATTTAGCAACAAATTTGCTAAGTTGGCAACACTGATTACAGCAGATGTGCTCCTGTGTTTGTAAGTGTCGTGTCATGTCTTCATGTGTCCACTAGAGGGACACATTTCACATCCTACAGTCTCATGTCTCTGTTCTTCTCTTTCAGTATGTTTGATGTGGGAGGTCAGAGAGACGAAAGGAGAAAATGGATTCAGTGTTTTAATGGTAAATTGAGTGTGTGAATGAATCCTTGTGAGACGCATGCATGTTAAACAAGTTTGATGTGTGGTCATTAACAATTGCATCTCATATACTTTAAAGTGACAGTTCATCCAAAACTGAAATCCGTGTCATCATTTACTCAGCCTCATGTCATTTCAAACCTGTGCGAGTTTCTTCTGCTGAACACAAAAGAAGATAAAAGCCATTGACTTTCATAATATCTTTTTCCATACTATGGAAGTCGATGGCTACCGTCAACTGTTTGGTAACCAACATTCTTCAGAATATCTTATTTTGTGAAGAAGAAAGAAATGACATTAGGGTGAAAACATTTTTGGGTAAACTATCCCTTTAAGAACATATCAGAAAACACACTGATTCCACACATACGTGGTGCTGATTTGCAGACGTCACAGCGATCATCTTTGTGGTAGCAAGCAGCAGCTATAACATGGTCTTAAGGGAAGACAACAACACAAACAGACTACGGGAAGCACTTGCTCTTTTTCACAGTATCTGGAACAACAGGTGATGCCTTTATTTTCTTATTCATAACATATAACTTGTTTTTGAGTGTAAGTGCAAGCTTTACTGACCCCCGTCTCTGTCGTGTCTTTATTTCTTCTTTTCACAGATGGTTACGGACAATTTCTGTCATATTGTTCCTAAACAAACAAGACATGCTGGCAGAGAAAGTATTAGCTGGGAAATCCAAAATTGAAGATTATTTCCCTGAATATGCTTCTTACACCTTACCTGATAAAGGTTAGGCTTTTCACCCAGACACACACCGATCAAGACCCAGTAGTTCTCAAATACTGTAGTCGTAAAGTTTTAGTTGTTCGTTGATAAATAATTAGCATGCTCTGTTTTTCAGCTAAAGGAAATATGAAAGTTCTGTCATAAAAAAGGTGCACAAGCTCAATAAATGTGTCATAAAAGTAGTCCATATGACTTGTGCAGTGGATCTGTTTGAGTTGTTGAGTTGAACCGGAGATTCAGATTGGTCAAATCCAGGATCATTTAGTTTTGTGAACTGGATTCATGTGCAGGTCAGTGTCAGCTTCCCTGTATGTTAATCTGTCGAGCCTTTATTATCTTTCAGTAACTCCTGAACCCGGTGAAGACCCCAGAGTGACGAGAGTCAAGTATTTCATTCGTGACGAGTTTTTGGTTAGTATTGTCTTTTTGAAATACACAGATTAAACACAGCAACTAATGCAGTCAGATTTTAGACTGCTTCATTTTGTTGTGATCCTTTTCTCTTATGAAACGATGGAGGAAAACCCTGTTGATGGGTAATTTGTAGACTAGATATAGACCTACATTTACTCTAAGTAAACCAATAATTGGCGCCATCCTGTGGCTCTCTAAAAAATACATATTTACCATGTACTTCATTTTCAGTATTAAAGGGATAGTTCACCCAAAAATTTAAATTCTGTCATTAATTACTCGCCCTCATGTCATTCCAAACCCGTTAAGACCTTCGTTCATTTTCGGAACACAAATTAAGATATTTTTGATGAAATCCGAGAGCTTTCTGACCCTGCATAGACTGCAAGGGAACTACCACGTTCAAGGCCCAGTGATTTTTATGAGGCTACGAGAATAATTTTTGAGTGCTAAGAAAACAGAAATAACGACTTTATTCAACTATTACACTCAATTCAGACTTTAAAGACTAAGTATAATTTCCCTGGAGATTCGGTGGAATATTGGCTGGTTGTTTTCTTCAAGACACTGTAATTTAAACCTTGTTTAGCCTTTAAAAAAAGGCATACCTTTTTTTTTTTCCTTCTGTCTCATAGCACATTTCCAGAAGAATCCGTTTAAGATATATATTTATGTTTCTTAAATGAATTTTAACTACACAATGTAATTATTCATCAAAAAATGCTTGTAATCATTTGAAATCCCTAATTTTCACCGTCTTTTCACAGAGGATCAGTACAGAAAGCGGAGACGGCCGTCACTACTGTTACCCCCATTTCACATGTGCAGTGGACACGGAAAACATCCGCCGGGTCTTCAACGACTGCCGAGACATCATCCAGATAATGCACCTGCGGCAGATTGAACTCTTGTGATCTCACTTCGGCTCTTTATGAACGTGTCTCCACCTCATAACTCACGAGGCCGAAACCGCAGACACATACTACTGACGTTTGGCGCAACACCCTTCGGTTTTTAGGCATTTTATTTTAACTCATGATTCGGGGACTTTTTCCCCCCACGTTTTTATTTGGATCGCCTTTATTTTTGCCATTCCATGAAGCCTCTGGCTACCTCCTTATTTTTTTATTCAAATAAAAAATATCATCGTGTATATATGTATACATGCTGGCGCCTGCCAGATTATGAAGATCGCATCACCTTGTGACCTCCAGGAGTCCTAGTCTCGCACCTCGAACCTTGATCTTCTGGCCTACAGGGCTCTCTGCTGCTCTTTCTTTTTCCGAACACTGAAGATCGCTCGCGGACAGAAGCGGGGACGGGGTGGCGGGCCGGGGGTTGTCGAACACTGGGAATGCGAAGTGAAGTAATGCACTTTTCCATCAGGTTTTGACTGACGTTTTTCTTTACAAAGATGGACACACAATGTAGCATCACATCATGAATTTCTGTCCCACTTAAGGCTGTGGACAGGTCAGAGAATGGTGGGAGTGACCATGCCCCTTTTATGTGAAAGAGGCGGAGCCTTTGAAACGAGGAGGAGGGGCTCTGTGAAGAGGCGGAGCCTTTGAAATGAGGAGGAGGAGGGGCTACGGGAACATTGCTGAAGCCTCGGTTTGGTTTTGGGAACATGATGGCAAAACATCTGCGAAAAGAATCGCCCCATTTCTTCTTTTAGTTTCTTAACTTGTACAGACTGTGCAAGGGTGATTTTTTTTCTTTCCTGTTCAGACTATAAAATGTTTTATTATTTTGTACAACTTTATTGAAAGAGTAAAAAAATCTACTTGTAGATCTTTGTGCCTTGATTATGGCTGTACCTGTAAATGAAGCTGATACATATGTTTTTGACTGCGCTGTCCAGCTTGATGTCACCCCTGTCGGCAGAAGGGACTGTGGATGGGGACCTACTCTGTAGAGTTTAGTTTATTTTTCGGTTATTTGTTTGTTTTTCTGCTTTGTTTATATAAAAAGAGAAAAAGTTATTTATAAAAAAAAAATATAGGAAAGAAAAATCTTAACCTGTATACATTATGCAAATTGACCCCCTTACCTGCGGTTATCATCGGACGAAACAGCACCATGCCTTTCTTCTGGTTTTTGTTTTCCATTTAAGTCTCAGCTTTAAAAAAAAAAAGTTGAAGTGTCCAAAATCACAACCTGGTGTTGTTTTCAAAGACCTTTTTGGATATGAAGTATGTCTGAGAAATATATCCACGTTTGTGTCTGTGAGTGCGTACGTGTTCACGTACAGGAGACAAACATTGAGCCACAGACGCATGACATTTGTGTTGTGTGTGTGTGTGTGTGTGTGCACTCTTTTATAAATGTGCGTACATGTAAATTTATAGGTCTATATAAATATATATGTACAATTCTACATGTTTAATTATGTGTGTTGGCATATACATACTTTAGTATGTATACAGTGAAGATGTGTACTTACACACATAGGTAAGCATGTCTAGAGTGAAATGAATAAATGAGAGTGCAATATTGAAAGCAAGTGTGCGTGTCCGACGATTTTCACCATACAGACTGAAAGTTGTTTTTTTTAAACTATCATTTCTTTAATATCAATGTTATGTGATATCAGTTTATAATTAGACAGAAGTCTGATTTATAATACACGCATCCAAATATACTCTTATTTTGTAAAGCAGAACTTCAAGACGTTTTTATATTTATTAAAAAAACATTATTTTATCTGCTGAACACCCTTGGAAGTCCTAATTTATTTTGCTTTTACCAAAACTTTTCAAACCATGTGATCCACCAAAACAATACAAATTATGTTACACATGCAAATTTTGGTTGACACAAAATTTGTATTTGTATTTAAAGTTCAAACACATTTTATATATATATATATATTAGTACTCCAGTAAATCGCAAAACTTTTTAAATCTGTAAATACTATGTGCTTAAAGTCATGTTGCACAAGAAATACTTTTTAAAATAAATCTTCTCGAGTCATTAAAAGTCATTAAATAGATTTTGTGTTATGGTTCTTAAGTCAAGTGCTTAAGTTGCTTTGTCAGTCTACAAAACCCCATACATTCACATTGCATCACTAAAATGCTGACCACACTGAATAGTCTTCAGTGCAGGATGACATATTCAAGATTTCTGATACATTAACATAGACCTCTGATTCAACAAGCCACAGTGCATTACACCAAAGAACAGCATATGCAATCAACTTGACAGAAAAAGTTGGTTTGGCTTTTTAGATGTTGAAAAACACTCAAATATATATATGCATTGCTGAGGTACATTAATTCCATACAGCATATAAATTACATTCAGATAAAATCTTATTTTTTGAGTCCAAATTTGGATTTCTTTTTTCTTGAAGTATTTCTTAGTACAGGGATTCTCAGTAGGTCCAATTTCCTTCAGAGTTTAGGTCCAACCCTAATCAAACACACCTGAACAAGCTAATCAAGGTCTTCAGGATTACTAGAAAGTTACAGAAAAGTGAGTTTGATCAAGGTTGGAGCTAAAAGTGGACCTCGAGGGCCAGCACTGAGAACCTCTGCTTTAGACCAAGGGACTAGACCAAAGGTGTCCAAACCTGTTCCCGAAGAGCCACTGTCCTGCAGAGTTTACCTACAATACTAATTAAACACATCGGAACCACCTAATCTTCAGCAGGTCTTCAGACTTACTGGAAACTTCCAGGCAACTGTGTTGGAGCTGGTTGAAGATCATCTCTGAAGGACGTTGGTTCTCCAGGACCAGGATTCATGTTGTGTCAGACTTGCTGTTCTGAAGCACAGCTGTACATTTGCTCACAGGAACTCTAGTAATTAGAAAGTCTTCATTAGGTACAGTAGGATATAAAGGAGTTTGGCAAGTGAATCTTTTGCCTCAACATGGAATGATCTGCTGTTAGCAGAAGCTTTACGATTGAATTACGCTCCTAGATTGCAAGATTTTACAGAAGCGTTCCCATTTAAGACTAGGCCTACGTGTATGTCCTGATTTTGCATGCTGGAAACAAGCATCTATCCTGAGTGGTTTCCTCGCGATTACTGCTTCTCAAATGGCTTCTTCTTGCTGATCTGAAGAGTGACTTGTCCGGTGGGCGTGTAGTTGCAGGTTTGTGCAGAAACCTGCGTTTTGAAGCTCTGCAGACCTCCCTCCTTTCCTCTTTGGACCTCGGAGCAGTACGTCGGCTGGACTTCAAGCCTCGCAAAGCTACTGGTATGGCATGAATAGTTGGATGAAGGTTCTCCCGTCACATGAATGGGTATGGTCTTCTCTCGCCTTGCCTGAGAGCTGCCGCCCGCTGATGAACCTGGACTAAACATGCTGGAAATGTGTTCCTTGAAGGAGCCAAAGAATCCCATGCGAGGTTTTGCCGGTGGACGTACCACGTTCAACACAATGGGTTTGCCAACGACAGACTCGTTAATTTCTCTCTGCAACACTGAGATCTCACTTGGCTTCTCGACGGGGATGTGATGGTCTGTACTTCTGCCGAACGTTTCACCTGCCTGAGGGACGTAGTCCTCGAGATCTTCAAGAGTAAGAACTCGATTCCCATCAGTCAGCATTTTGCAATCTCGAGCATCAAGTTCGTCGTCTTCAGGCTCCACGACAATAGTTCCTTCATCTTCATCAGAGACACACGGCTCACTAATTTCTAATGTTGTCATATTGTCAATCCCTGAAGGTACTTCAGACACATTCTGTGCAGTTTCCTCTTCATCCGTACCAGAAGAAGCTTGCAGAGCCATTGCGGCACCCATTGCCTCTTCTACTAACTTGTTGTTGGAGTTATTAGTGTTTGGATTGCCAGGTGGTGACCGCTTGCTGGGGGAAACGCCTCTTCGTCTTGGTAACTTGGGTGATTTGTTCACTTTATACTCTATTATCTCTTCGACTTCTACCCATCTTGGGTTCCTGGCCGTGGCACCCTCCGTCTCTGGAACATACAGTGTCGGTACAGTCTTCCTGGCCAGGGTCCGTCTCTGTCTGGGCGGTTCGGGTGTGGACATCTCTGAGCGGTGAGCTCCCATGGGCGATGGACGCGGCGATGCATGCCGTTTCATACGGGTGTTCTTCACCACTGTGGTGATGGTCTCCTCACTAGAAGTGGGAAAAGCACATTAAAAGCACATCAGCTTCAGGCTGGTAAGATTTTTATAGTGCTTTTGAAAGAAGTCTTTTATGTTCACCAAGGCTGCATTTATTTGATCAAAAATACAGTAAAAACAGTGATACTGAGAAACATTGATTAAATTAAATGGTTTTCTGTGTTAATGTATTTTAATGTATTCATGTAATGGAAAGCTGTATTTTCAGCATCATTACTCCAGTCTTCAGTGTTACATGATCCTTCAGAAATCATCCTAATATGCTGATTTGCTTTTTAAGAAATATGTTTTTAGGATTCTGTGATGAATAGAAAGTTCAAAACAACAGCATTTAATTAAAATATATTGTGTAACAATGTGTGACTTATGCCGAGTTCACACTGCACGATTTTCAAACTCGTCGGATCGCCCTTGTTTTCACACTGCGTGACTATCTGGGGTAGCATTCAGTTGCTGCTGTGTTCACATTGCACGATGGATCGGCGACGGGGTTTCACATCGCATGACTTCACAATGGGAAGAATCGCCGACAGCTCTGTCTGGTGCAGGGTTGCCAGGTTTTCGCTACAAAACCCGCCCAATTACTACTCAAAACTTGCCTGAAAATAGCCCAATAGCCCAGGCTTTCGAGGGGGTCCCCCAGTAAAAATCGCGTTCAGGGGGTAAAATAAAATTTTTTTTTGGCGGGGTTCTCCTGGTACAATTCACATTCCAGGGCCTAAATATCACGTTACTGGGGTCGCTTCAACCTGCTGACATAAAAAAACAACCGGCGGTAATCGTGGATTTGGCAACACTTGTCCGCAAACTACGTTTCATATAACTTCCCGCTGCCATTTCACACAGGTGATTGTGAAATGCATCGTGTCGCCGATTCCCTCAGATCGCGTCTTTGATAATTCACACTGCGTGATTGTCACTTGCGTGAACGAGCGCCGATTTGCCTCCGATTTCGGGCATTAGTCGGCGATTTTGCAAAACCTGTCGGCGAGTTGGGAAGAATCGCCGACAGCTCTGTCTGGTGCAGGGTTGCCAGGTTTTCGCTACAAAACCCGCCCAATTACTACTCAAAACTTGCCTGAAAATAGCCCAATAGCCCAGGCTTTCGAGGGGGTCCCCCAGTAAAAATCGCGTTCAGGGGGTAAAATAAAATTTTTTTTTGGCGGGGTTCTCCTGGTACAATTCACATTCCAGGGCCTAAATATCACGTTACTGGGGTCGCTTCAACCTGCTGACATAAAAAAACAACCGGCGGTAATCGTGGATTTGGCAACACTTGTCCGCAAACTACGTTTCATATAACTTCCCGCTGCCATTTCACACAGGTGATTGTGAAATGCATCGTGTCGCCGATTCCCTCAGATCGCGTCTTTGATAATTCACACTGCGTGATTGTCACTTGCGTGAACGAGCGCCGATTTGCCTCCGATTTCGGGCATTAGTCGGCGATTTTGCAAAACCTGTCGGCGAGTGAAAAATCGGGCTAAAATCGTGCAGTGTGAACTCGGCATTACTGTCACTTTTGATCAATGTAATGTGTCTTTACTGAATAAAATTATAAATTTTTGAACAGTAGTGTATTCAATTTGTGCTTATGTGTGTGTATATGAGACTTACATAATTATGGTTTTCTTCGGCATTTTCGTCTCTTGTTCCGTTACTAGTTGGGAAAAAATAAAAATTGTTAAACATCTTTTTTTTTTTTTTTTTTTTTTTTTAACCAAATGTATTTTCAGTTATCAAATTTCAGTTAATTCATTGAATTTGACGTACAAACATGATGCTGAAATATGAAAAATACATTCAATCAGTTGTCTCATTTCTATATTTCCACATTTTAAATATGAGAATGTATATTAAAAAATACACCTTTTTTCTGGACCTGATCATTTCTAAAACCATCTTGCATAGTATTGTTTCGTATACCCTTTATTAAAACCAATAAATATTGTATCAGGATGTGTCCCTTTTTTTAAATCCGTTTTGAGTTTTCAAGAAGTAAAGTCATAACAGATGGGAATGTTTTTTTAACTGGGTGGCATATGAGTTTCGACAGGCATCTCTTTTACCTTCTATACTGATGGCCTGATCTGCTCTACGTTCTCCTGCCATTGCCACAGCAGGAGTGATCAGCTGCGCCGCACACCTGGCACTGCCCAGACGGTTCGACAGCTGCAAATGGACAATATGATGATCACTGACTTATTTCCTCAGGGTTGGCGTAAAGTAAGAACTGAAATGACTAAAGAAAGAATCTCCATACCTCACACTCATAGTGTCCAAGGTCTCGTTCTCCAGGGTTCTTGATAACTAGAACCAACACTCCACTGCGCGGTTCACTGTATGTCTGAAACTTCTCCAGGTCTGTCAGTAGTTTACCATCCTTAAACCATCTGTCCAGGGAAATGGCATAGTTTAATACTAACTCAATTCATTTTGTCATTGAAGCAGATAACGCAAGGAAAGCTGTGTTGGGTTTTTGGAAGTTATTTATGGAACGGCTTGATTTGAATATTATTATATGAATCAACCAGATCTTCTGGGTCATTTTGACTCAATATTTAAACATGGAAATAACATAAATGATAGTATAAACGAAGTAACTACCTTATCTTGGGACTTGGAGCGCTCTGGATGGTGCAGGTGAACTGAGCATCTTCTCCTGGATAAAGTGTGGATTTCCGGATCTTATTCACAAAACGTGGAGGTACTGCAAAAGGAATAAAAATGAGCTGGAATTTAAACCTAACAGCATTAAAATTCATCAAACATCAGCATATTTAAATGAAATGTAAACTTTAATAAATTTTATTATATTAAAATGTTAAATTAAATGTTACATTAAATTAATTATTAAATTCTTATAAAATGAAATAATTATGATTAAAATCTTTTCACAATGGAGATGGAGTGAAACCCGCTTTACTAAGTTGGATACATCAGGTTGCTCACTCACCCTGCACAGTGATTTTGCCTAGTGTGCTGGCGTTACCCGCAGAGCTGGTGGCAAAGCACATGTACTGGCCTGAGTCGTCTGCCGTCATGTTGTCCAAAATCAGTGTGCAAGAGCCGTCTGGGTCCTCAATGATGATGTGATGAGGATCCGCTTCTACGGCACGCCCGTCTGTTTGTGAATCAGATGGATGAATTACTTAACTTCTAAGAAGTCATCAAGAGGGAAAACCCCCGAGATTTGGTTCTTTACCTTTGTACCAGGTGACCTGTGGTTTGGGGGCACCAGTGACCTTGCAGGCGAGCTTTACCGTCTGTCCGAGCTCCGCTGTGCAGTCTGTCAACACTGCGTCAAAATCTGGAGACCCTGTAATAACAAGTAAAATGCTAAACATTAGGACTAGGGTTTATTTTTAGGCAGCGGCTATTTGCACCAAGTGAAAATAGCATATTTTCTTAGCGATAGATGCTATTTACACTAAGTGCAAATAGCAATGGATTCTATTTAGACGAAGTGAAAATAGCAGTATTTTTAACAATATGCTATTTACACTAAGTGCAGATTAGTGTAAATTATCATTTTAATTCAAATTATTAAATGGATGCCACCTTATTGGGACAATAAATCCCTCCCCCTACACCTACCCTAAATCCTACCCGATACTTTATTTTCAACTTTTTGATTATTTCCTTAAATTTATTGAAAATAAATGCTTTTCCGATGTGATATGAGATTTGAAAAGGGAGAAAAAAGTTCAGTAAAAGGTGGATTCGAACCTGGGTCGATCACGTCAAAAAGACTATGATACACGCTTTACCATCTACGCAACTGAAGCTGTCAATTGCTGGCCGTCTTTTATAGTGTTGACCATCCCTATCACACGTTTGTGGGTGGAGCTAGTGTAAATAGCTTCTGCCAACAAGGTGGGCTATTTGCACTTAGTGTAAATAGACACTTTGTTATTTTTATTGTTTTTGTGTTTTCGTTTTTTGCCACTTGCTGCAGCGATGATATATTTTTGTATGCCAAAATGCATAAACAAGTTAGCATTACTGTTTTTGGCTGAGCACCTGAAATAAGATCTGGTGTTAACGTGAGATCAAGATATTTTCAAGTTTTATTCTACAACGTAAAACGTCATCAAACTGAACAGGTAAACTCATCTTCTCAGCAGTTCGCTTTTACAGCTGCGTCGTGTTTATAATTGTGCTCTTGCAAACTATTCTAACTCAAACTTTCCAACATGAAGATTTAAAATAAAGTTTAAAGAGTTGTTAGAGGTGTTGACGTGGTGTTGTTTATAGCATAACTTTAGCTTTTTACTTTTGCCAACTGTATTAGGCTTCAAAAGGCTGTATTCATTTGTGAAGATTATTAAAGCATGTACAAATCATAAACTTTCACTGGTCCCAGAGCTTATTTTCTGTAATACTCCAATAAGCCAATGACAAAACCTTATTGGGTTTTCTGGCAGGAAGCAGGCTGAAGCTAACTTCTGAGTTGGCCTACTTAAATATGTCTATGTGAGCAATGTATTTATCATGCTAATGTTGGCAACTTACTCCAGGCTGGCATGCTGTAGCGCTGCTGAAGGTCACGGAGGTCGCGGAGCCATGAGTTCTTGATGATAACAGTCCGCGCCTGCAACGTGTATTTTCTCACGGAGTCCTCGCGCTCATGCCAGATCTCAAATGCTCTCTCATCACCCTCAACGGTCTCGTTCACGTCAATGTTTGTGAGCTAAAGACAAAAATTTGGACAGTATTTGCTTTTGAATTATTTGGCTTTTGAATAATCAGCATTGGCCTTAGTAAATATTGTGTTAAATATGTGCATCCCTTAATTTCATTTAAAAAGTCATTTAAAAGCTTCTGCAAAGCTCCAACCTTCATCATATTCTTGAACACATATGCTTGGGTGTCTGTATTAGTGTCTCTCTTCTGTTTGCAGATGACCACATGGTTTTTGAAGAGGAAGACGTGGCGGTGGTGACCTCTGGAAGATGTTCGAATTCCAGGAGCTCCTTCCCAAACAGTGAAGGGCCCCTGTAGAAAAATCCAGAACTTTTTTTTACACTTTGATTTGAAAAGTTTTAAAATTTACTACAAGTAGGTGAAACATGTAAGAACACTTAATCACAATTATCCAGTACCTTAACTGGTGACATTTGAGTTTAGGGATTGTACCTGTCTAATAGGTTCTCCCAGTGCCTCCAGATTGGCGGGGTAGTTCTCTATGAGGGATACATGGTGTGTGTTTTCTGAGCGCTGGGAGAGGGACGACACCATGGCATAGGCCTGCTCCAACAAACAGCAGTTCTGACCGTTCCTCGCTTTATTACGGATCAATTCCTAGAGTAAAATCATGGGAAATATGGAAATGTGTTGGTCACTATCAAACGTTAGTGAAGAGATATATCACATAATACATAACACAATTTCTAAGCACATATTTATATAAATATTTAGCATTTTGAAAGTGGAGATTGCCTTCACCTGGACCTTGAAAATGAGTATTGTGGTATTTAAGTATTTAGTACCTTCAGTAAAGCCCTGTACTTCTGAATTCTCTCCGGTGGTCTCTGAAGGTAAGCATTGATGCTTAGCACTGGACCTTCTGAGGGGTCAACATTTGCCAACTCTGATACTGTATAATCCTAATGAAAATTACATAAAACATGATCTGTGTCTTCGGAATACCACATTATTTTTACAGACAAAGAAAAAAAATCACATTTCTAATCTAGTTTTTATGCCCCCAGAAATCAATCACTATGCTGTCAATAATTTGTAAACCCACCTTGAAATACTGGTGCACTTTTTTCTCACTGATGGCGGACTCGGCTTGCAATTGTCCAATGAAGTACTGCAGATATTTCTCAAACCCTTCAGAGTTTCTCAGGAAATGCATGGCAGTGTCATCATCTGTGTCACAATCACGCAGACCAGGCAGCAAAGAGCTGGAAAACAGTCAACTTCATTATGCATTTCCTGTTGTCAAATTCCATATGTCAAGACTAGCACATAAATTAAAACAAACAAAAAAAAATATTTACATATTCCTTAAAAATAAAAATTGCAGATGCAGAGTTGTAGAATTAACCATAATATCTGACTGTCTGAACTCTGTACCTGATGTGGAAGGATTTCAAATCATTGATATTACGGAAGATGGTTTCCTTCTGGGTGGCGATTTCAGGTGGTGTGCTCTCCTCCTCCACACGCTTCAGATGGTGTGACGTGAAGAACTCCATCTCCTTCAGAAACTCAGTTTCTGTGCTGATCAGCTCTTGGACAAGTTGACTAGATACATATGAAGCCGAGGTAGAATTACTAAAGAGGTACGATTTAAAATGCACATTGCACTTCACTTAATGTATCCAAATTTACCAGAGTTTCTTCTTGTAGTCTGTCTCTGTGACTTCTTCTCTAGTGGTCTCTGGGAGGTCTGCTATGTCTGCAGACAGCTACAACACAACCATTCCCTCATTAGTAAGAAATTATAAGACACACAACCCTATAAAAAGCTATCATTACATTTTGTGCATTTTAACCCTAATGTCAAAATTTAAAATCAATATTTCCCCACTAGGTGACCAGTTATCCATTTTGAATGAACCTAAACTGACCTTCAGTCTTTTGTCGAGATACGCAGGCGAGACCCATCCCTGGCGAGATGGGTTGGATTTGGTGGGCTTGGTGCGGACAAGCCATTTAAGTGGATGGGCAGAGTCCAGAACCTCCACATACTGGCCCTCTTTCAGAGCGATGGCATCTTTACTGACCCCCATGGGGTTATAGTCAGCAGTCACAACGTAGATATCAAACATCTGCACAGATGCATTGAGATAACAAAGCATTTGGAAAATGTGACTTGCCCTCTTCACCCTTGAGAATATGAGAACGCTCTGGATTCTGCTTTCAAATATCCTTCTGTGAACTGAATATTATGCTTAACTCACATAAAAATAATATGAACTACAGAATAATGATACCAATTACACATTTACCAATTACTACCATTACACATCCATTTTTATTTCCTCTTTTCAATAAATGGTAAATGAATGTATTCAAATTCTTATGTGAACAGAATAGCAACAGATCTGACACAGTTACATTAGTTATAATAATAACATTTGTTTGTTGATGACACTGAGAGTGTGATATTTCTAATACCTCTCCCCTGGCATCTCCTTCATCTGACTCGGATGATGAGTCTGCGATCAGAGATGGAGGGCGTGATCGGCCGTGATATGGAGATGGAGATGGTGTTTTTGTTTCATCATCGCTGTCAGCTCCTGGGACACGTAATGAAGCTAGAGGCAGACAGAGGTATTGTGTCAATCAATTATGGTCACAACAATGTTTAAGTATCATGTTTGACAGCATGGGCTTTAGCGTCACATTTGCTCAGATGATGATAATAAATTAATAAATCAACATATTCAGACACATATTCAGAATGTAATTTGAAAATATAAATCTGGACAAAATAAATAGCGAGGTACTCCAAATTATATATTGTAAGCAAACATTTCAGAGTCAAAATGAAAAAATATTTACACTATACACATCTTTAACGTACTTCAGAATTTGGTTTAAATGGTTTTCAAAATAAAAACTTGATATAGGCTTATTAACATCCTTAACAATGGAGTTTGTGTGATCATTTAGACATGATTTATCTTTACTTTACAATGGTTCCCAAACTGCACCACGCCAACATACATAAAATGTAACATCACACTACTGCCGTTTAAGTAATCGCATGCATAGATTTAATCTTCCAATAACAACAACAACAAAAAATACTGAGTACTGACAGAACACATGGTTATTAAGGCTACAGTAACCTCTGAAACTCTCTCAAAAATCGTGCATTTGCTCAAAAGTCAGAAAGCCAGAATAGATACAAAGAGGTGGAAATATGGATTTGGAAATTATCTCTCGCAAATGGATGCTGAGCATGATTTATGAGGAAAACTGTCCCAGTTTCGATGACCTAAAGAGAAGGTAAGCAGCAATAATCGTTTTTATTTAGCCTACAATTCAAATGTGTAAGCATCTTCGCTTTCAGTAAGTGTAAATTGCTTTATTTGTTTAATTAGACTACCGGTAACATGTGATTGTGTCTCAAGCTATTAAGTTATCTTACCATGCTTAATAATTTAATAAGACATAAAGAGTGAAGGTGGTTTGAAAAGTTTGGGATCCACAGGATTTAAAATACTGTTTCTAAATAAGAGGTAACAGAATTGTGTTATTGTACAAACTAAGTTTACTTCATTCATCCATTGATCATTTTGAGCATATTTTTCGAGAATATTCACCAGGCAAGCTTTTTCCATTGCTTTTTTAGAAGCAGAGAAATAATGCAAATAACAAAAGTGACCAAAAAAAAGCATATTTTCTGACAATCATTTGAGATCATCACTTGTAACATTCATAATCAGTTTTTTTAATCAATGACTAATAACTAATACTGTACTGTATCATGTTTCTCCTGCTATTTTACGTGCATTATATCATGCTTGTGTAAAAATAAAACTGTGCCCACACAAACACTAATGTAATGCTCATGCAACTCCATACATCTAAATGAAAATGTCAGCGAGCGTTCATCAATTTTCTTTGTGTATACTGAAACAGAGACACCTTGAAAGTGTAAAAATTTGAGTCTGCTTCCACTGAATTTAAGAATGTCCAGTTTATTTTGAATTGTGACAAATGGCCCTGATTTTAAAGAACTGTAACTTTATTACCACTAGGCAATACTTGCAGCATTTTTACCTTTTTTGAAGATCTTAAATTCATTCCTTTTTAAAAATGTTAAAAATTAAAAAATGTTGAGAGCCAAAGAAACAGACAAGCAAAGTGATTAACAACAGCATAGCCTCATGGAGAAAAAGGCAAGGTTCTGGTATGTTACACTGGAGGTTCTGCGGATACATACTGGTTACTTTGGGCCAAGATTTCATCCACTGGAGCACTTGATGGTTCTGTAAGCTGTCTGAATAAATCAATGCTTCAATGAGAATGTGAGTGAATAGAGGGATGAGAGGATGGATGGATAGTTTGATAGATAGACAAAATAATGGAGTCAGTGAGCTGTGTAGGAATTGAGGGATCCAGAGAAATACGTTTTTTTTAAAATTTTTTATAAAAAAACAAAAGTGAGGTTCAGGAAAACACACATAATGTGTTCATTAAAAATGTCCAGAGTATAATTAATTGAAGTGAATTTGCAACAGGTGTACTCCATTTCAGTACTCAGTACATCCTGTGATATAAATTCAAAGCATTTGAGCACATGCTAAACTCATTCAAAAACAGTGCACACTGTTTTAAGTGAATATTAGGATGCATCTGCTGAGAAAGACTACATTAGCAAGATAAATAGTAATTAATAGTGCAAATAACATACAATAAAATTGAAATCAAGAAGGCTAATTTAATTTAAAAAAAGTAGTACAGTATAAATAGTACATACATATTGTAATTCAGTCATATTGTAAATATTTAGCTCAGTATTATTGACTGAAAAAAGAAAGAAAAGAAAGTGTTTTCTCTTACCTTGAGTAATCCTGGCAGATACCATTTCTGTGATTTGGGTTGTGAGTTTTTGTAAGAATTCCTCAGTACCCACTTCACCCAGGGAAGGTAGTTTGATCTCTCCTGAGACGTGATCACAGTAATTATTTTGTTGCAGATTATTTGACAAATGTTTGATGGCAGTCACTCTGATATAATCTGTCAGTGCATTGATAGTAAACAAAAGTAGTAAAAAAAAACTAAAAATAGAACATCAATATCAAATATTCACCTTTGCCCTGTTCCTCTGGTGGGCTGATAGTAATTCCCAGAACCCTGGAGAAAGAAAAAAAAACATCTAAATCTCTAAAGCTTTAAAATGTTTAGATTAATAAAAGTATCTAAATTGACAGCTGTTTATTTTATATTTAGCTTACTCTGGCCCCACTTTCTTTTGCTCTGGTGCTGTTGGACAGAAAAGTAAGCATGATAAAAAAAAAGGGTACGCATACCAGCCATAATCTTGGTATAAAAAAAATAATATAAAAAAAGAAGTCATGTGATTCTGACATCACTACTGTTAATAACTGAACCATGAGTTTCTGACCTGTCTCCACATCCAGTCGGGCTGTGTTGACTGACTGTCCAGCACGGTTGGTGGCAATGCAAGTGTACATGCCGCCATGTTTTTTTTCCACTTCCATGAGGATGAGACTATGTTGACGGCCAGAGCTGGCCACCTTGTAACCTGTTGTGTCTGCCTTGATCCACAGAACATCCTTATCTGACACTTCCTTTAACCAGTTTACAGATGGGGTTGGGGAGCCTGTGGAAGACAGTAACTTGGCTTTATATATTTCATCTTTTGTAATGTGCACCTGAACGTTATGCCTAATGCTTTGGTCTATTTTTCAAAATTGCATCTAAAGTAATTTTCTTGGTATTTTATTTATTGTGGTAACACCATACCTTCCACTTTGACTGACAGCGTTAAACTTGCTCCCTGTTTCACCTTCTTGTTGCTGAACCTCTCCAGGAAGCGTGGTGGCACAAGTGGCACCTTTGAATCTATTTGTGGAAAAATACAAGTGGCGTAGTAAATGACATGCATGCATAATCTTTCATATCAATACTTCAAATTTCAAAATGCATTTGCCTCTTACATCATGTGGAACAATGATTCATAATTACATGTGCTGTATGCAAGATGTTTACCTCTCATTTGTCCCTGTTCAGGTGCTGGGCGCTCTCCAGGAGCTAATTAGTGAATGTAAACAAAGAAACAAACAGAAAAACATGTTAGAATTGATTTAGCACATTTAATTTGGAAAACAATATAGCTGTAATTATGATTAATAATTTCTAATTTCAACACTCTTCCATTTCCTGTCACAGTCTTACAAAGACCCAATGCAAGTGACATATAGAGTTTAAGTGCAAAAGGAACATTTACCCAGTACATTCAGTCGTGCTGAAGAGTAGGCAGAGCCAGCTATATTGCTAATGTATGCTGAGTATTCTCCAGTGTCCTCGCGCTTAACATCCAAAATCTCAAGACTGTGTTGATCTCGCTCAGTCGACAATACAATTCTGCTGGAGGCTTGAAGTGGGGTGCCGTCTTTGAACCAGTAAACCCTTGGTGTGGGAAATCCTGCAGAAAGGCATTGAACATGAAACTGTGTTTGCCACCCATATTACTTCTGCAAATGCAACAGCTGAAAATTACAGTAGACTTAGATGCAAAACAATGTGAATGTTTATTAGGAATATAAACATGTTCATAAAAAGGATTTAGGACATTAATGTCATTATGGTTAGAGCGACTAGAGTTGAATAGATACAACAGGTGCAGATGCAAAAAAGAAAACACTTGGAATAAATAGTGCATAGATAATCAGAATACAGATAAAATAGAATTTGAAATGAAACAGAATTTGCATCCATGGAAAAAAAAACAGCTGACCTTTGACCCTGACAATCATTTTGGCAATGGGTGCTCCAGGACTGAGGAATAAATCATGTAACTCATCCACAATCTGAGGTAGCTGCTCGTCCTCTGCCACAGACTCAAAAGCCTCTGTGTCCCTGTGCTCCGAGCTAAAAGAGCAACCCAAACACAAGAAGAAACCCATTTAGAACTAGCATGAAATTTAAATCAGAGGTTTGTTCTGGCAGGCTTTGAGCAAAATCTATTTTATCCCTGTAGTACTGACATAAAATGTCATTAAAATCACTTATTGATTTTAAATTTTAAAATTAAATTATTGAATCTTACCTAGACACATAACCTTTAGCACTGACATAGGAAGACGTCTCTGTGGCATCAGCTGCTGTGTCATAGTCTGAGCTACAAGACACTTTAAACATACACAAAGCTGAATCAATAATCAAACATGAGTCTTGAAATCTTGAGTCTTTAAGAAGAGTATAAAATAAATACCCAAAAATAAAAATGGTCATCATTTACTAACACTCAATATTCAAACAACAAATCGACAAAAATGCAGAAAACAGATTAAATGACCTCTAATTAGTTCTGAATATCAAAATATATACACATATTAACCGCATTCATCTTACGCATTTTGAGAATGTAGGCCTAGAGCATTTTTAGGCCATCTAGAGACAAACAACAACAATGACAAAACACATGCAGTCACATTCTTACACTTCACAGATGCACCGGTAAAAGAAAGTGCCATCTTTGTTAAAATGTTTCAATCTGGGACGCCATTTTGCTCTCTTGTCTACATTTGTGAGTTTTTGGTTTTGATTAACACTTTCTTTTAACAGTGTACTCACTGTCCACCCTCAGCTCAGCCTTGCTGGAGGCGATGCCACTGTCATTTTCAGCCATGCATCGGTACACGCCCATGTCTGTGGGCAGCACAGCTGTGATGATCAGCTGGTGATGGCCTTCCTGGTCTTCATTGATCATGTAGTGGTCGTTTTCCTCCAACATCTTTCCATCCTTGAACCATTTCACAGTGGGAGGGGGGTTGCCGACAATTACACAGTCAAAACTGACTGGAAACCCATCAGGAACATCTTGGCTACGGAGCTCCGTCAGGAAGACGGGGGCCGCTGGGAGGTTGGTAGGTGATTAAGAGAACAGTGAAGAGCAAACAAAACCGCAAAGAACAGAGCATAGCAATACTTTTGAGGAAAAATGCTGAACCAGGCGAAAACATGACATGCCATCACTTTAAGATCCCAAACAAACAAGTCACCACATTTTTGTACATTTCAAAAGTACTGCCCAGCACTGAATCATGCAACATTATAAAGAAACAAAAACATTTATAGTAAAACCACATGGAAGAAGTATCATACCAGGGGCTCCTGTCATGAAAGCAGGCATCGGTAGGTCCTGAGTTGGGGTTTGGGAGCCATCTTGGGAGAGACTCATCTTTGTGATACGCAGCTCTACCTTAGCACCTGCTGCTGCTATGATGGTCGTTTCAATGGGAACTCCTTGATAAGTAAACATTTCCTGGAAGCGCTGGGAAGCTACTTGAGCTTCAGCACGGTTATCAAAGCGGATGTAGATATACTGATCGTCTTCCCGGTAAGTCTGTAGATCCAGTGGTGGTAAATCTCCTTCATCCGCACTAACAAAAGGTTCCTCTTCCACATCTGGAGGGAGGCGAGTACGAAGAAGTCGCTGTAATCGTTTACTTGCTTGGCGTAAAGTTTCATCCATCTCACTCCCTGAGGAGCTCTCAGCTTCACTGTCTGCACTGTAGCCCAGAGCGAGGGGGCGTCGCCCAGAAGATTCCCGCAGCGACCCTACAGTGACTTTGCAACTATGGGTGGAAACACCAAACTTATTGGTTACTTCACAAGTATATACACCCGTGTCTTTGGTTGTGGCAGCAGTCACTACTAGAGAGCAGGTGCCATCATTATAGATGTCAATGTGATGGTGCTTGCCATCTGTTAAGAGTTCACTATCTTTCAGCCAGCGAACTTTATCTGGCTTATCCTCCACAATGCACTCAAGATGAATTGTCCCATTGGGCTCCTTAGTCTGATCCTTGAATGCTTCTTTGAAGACTGGTCGCATGTCCTTCCTGGCTTTATAACCTTTGAAGGCTGCTTGAATCTTGACAGCAGCCTCTTGCAACTCATCCCCATTCTGAGCTTCCATGAGGGGCTCCACAGATGCCTTTGTAACAGATTGCTCAGTCATCTGGAAGTGCTCATACAGTTTCGTGGAGGCAATAGTCTCAGTCATAGAGGACTTGCTGCTTTTCTTAAGGTAAGACACCAAGCTTGCTGTCCCATTGAGAGATTCCTCATCAGAACTTGTATAGAGATTAGGCTCTGCTGTGATCTTGGGAGTTGGCTCAACAGGTCTCACTTCCTTTTCAGGTACTTTTCCTTCTTTGCTCTGGACCTTTTCTTTTCCATCTTCTTCTGGCAACTCTGAAATTGAATCTAATGTGGGCTCCCGACTCATTCTCCTCTTCTTGGCCACTGCATCCCACAGAGCATGTAAATCTCCCTCAGAAGCAGCCTCAGGAGGCAGTTTGGGCTGGCTGCCCGCATCCTGAGAAAGTGTTGTGTCATCTCCTGTAATCAGGTAGCCATCATAAATCAGTTTCACCCATGGTAACAATTTTATGTTGGAAAAAAGTTTATATTAAATATATCAACAATTTGTCTCTGCGACAGCAATTTGACTGTAATGAAACTCGGGTATATTGTAAATATTATGAAAGAGTAAATATAGTTTAACACTGAAACAAAGAGAAGTAAAGCAAAGTGAAAAACAGAGGAGCTTAAAACATTAAATGCACTTCTGCACATGAAAAGAAAAGATACTGAAATATAATGTAATGCTTGTAGTAACATTTACAAATATTTAGTACTTGTTGGAGAAAACACTATTTTGACATAACAGTCTTATTGACATGCACATGACAGTAACCTGAAGAAGTTGGAAAAAGATATTTGGACACTGTAATCTCGTAATGAAGAAAATCATAAAGTAGCAAAGTTCCAAACACTGTGACCAAGATAAACAACAATAGTAAGTTAGATGTGAGGTTAAGCGAAGTAAAGTACCTTCGAGGTTGACGTTGATTGAAGTCTTTGCCTCTTCTGAGGCTACACAAGAATAGACACCCTGGTCTGTAGACTGGAAATCCTTTATGAGCAAAACTTGGCTCTTTCCTTCTGCTACCATTTGGTACTTGACCCCAAACTCTATCTCTCTGTTGTCCTTGAGCCATGTGATTGATTTGCTCTCTGTAGAAAGTTCACACTCTAAACGAACCATCTTTCCTTTTTGGATCTTAGAGCTGCTTAACATTTTGGCCATGGTCACTGGTGCATCTGAAGACCAAAGGTCCGTTCAAAGAACAGTGAAAGAAATGTAGCAAGAATTCAATAAGAACAAATACAAATACAAAATACACTTGTTTAGAGTATAGTTTTTGGTGTTCTACTACTACTGTAGCATCTAGGGCAGAGTTCTTCACTCCTGGTCATAGAGAGCCACTTTCCTTCAGAGTTTAGTTCCAGCTGTGATCAAGGTTTTTGGGTCTACTTTAAAGTTATAGCCAGGTGTTGTTGGAGCACGATTGAAACTAAACTCTGCAAGAAAGTAGCTCTCTGGGACTAGGAGTGAGGAACCCTGATCTAGGACAGACTGCTGATAGCAAGCCTTCTATATGGACTCATGGAGGCAGTTTGGTTAGATGAAAAAACAATGTACTCACAATGTGCTCTATAAGGTTGCTTTCAATAAATTTGTTATTTCTGCAAGTATCCACTTACCGAGTGTCACGGTTTGAGGCAGCTGGACAGGCTCTCCAATACCAGCACGGTTAATGGCTGCCACTCTGAACCTGTAACCTGCCCCCAGTATGAGGTTTTCAACCAGAAATTCAGTGTTGCACACTGGTTCTGTGTGGCAGGGCAGCCAGAGGACACTGTCCACTAGACGCATTTCCACACGGTAACCAATGATTGGGCTTCCTCCATCACTGAGGGGTGTGAACCAAGACAAGGTGACGAATGTTGGGCCTTTACTAACCAGCTCTGGGTCTTCAGGGGGATCAGGCACAGCTATAAATATCCAGACAAAATGAAAAAAATGTTTAAAAAAATGTTATACAATAAGCATAATAGCAGAAATTATAATGAACGAGACATAAATGAGGACCCTTACATATTGTGATGAGTTTGGCCATTGATAAGGCATCCCGAGCTGCAAATGTGATTTCCTGTGTGGGCTGAGCCTGGGCTTTCTTCAAAATTAGGCTGTAGGAAGAGCCACTGGCTCTCATGGCCCATTGGTCATTACATTGAAGCTCAACACCATTTGCATACCAAGTCACTTCACTCTCAGGCACAGCTTCATTCAAAACACAGGTGAACTCAACTTGCTCTCCTGCAATGGCGGTCTTATCTTCCAAAGGCTTGACCACCTCCAGTTGCCAAGCTGTACAGAACAAATCCATAAATACATTTCCATTTATGCATTTAGCTTTATATTGAATATATCCTAAAACTGCAGCATGAAACTAATATCAAAATAATAAATAAATAAACCTATACCATTTAAAGTAGAAAATGAACTGCATCTTTATTCAAAATATAGTCATGACCTATAAAACTATAGCTGTCATTTTCTTTGATAAAATATGACGTAACACTTTCATCTAAATATTTAATGCTAATACAACAGAAATGACGTACCTTTGACAGACAGAAGAGCAGTAGTTGATGAAGTGCCAGCTTGGAATGTAACCCTTGTGTTTTCACAAGGATGCAAGTCTTTTAAAAGCAGAAGATGGCGTCTGCCACTCTCAAAGGAAACAATCTCCACTTTTGCAGACTCCTTTACAGGCTTGCCATCGATTAACCACCGGCAGTCTTTGGTTTCAGGACAAGACAAGGAGCATTCAAAAAGTGCTTCCCCACCATTAATGGTCTCCACGTTACTCAGCTCTTGAAGAATATCAATTGGTTTAGCTGCAAGAGAGATAATGCCTGAAAAAACACTGGCTTTATACACGCCAAGTCGCTGTAGTACACAATGACTTTCACTGACCTTGAATTCAAAACAATTCTTAAACTTAAAACAGTAACTGAACACAATCACACTCAATTAACAATTCTTCCAACATTTCACTAGCATATAGCATCCAGCATTGAGTAGCATAAGAAGCAAAGATAGCTATGATAAAAGCACATGATGGTTATTGCATAGCCAGCCAGATGATGATGTTGCTAAAAACAGCCATTTTTGGCTCGAGTAAAAAAAAGAAAAGAAAGAAATCCCAGTAAAACTCTTTGTGGTAAGCCCTTACTTGTGCAACTTATAACTTTATATTTCTCAAAGTCTTTGCAAGTCTTATACCGAGTCTTTGTGTATGAATGACACACAGATTCTCTTTGTCTACAGGTGTGCTCACCTTGCACCCTGAGATGTGCCACAACAGAAGTTCCTTCTGCCTCACAGGAGTACATTCCCCCATCCTGGGGCTCCACACAGCTAATGTACAACCGCGCAACAGTCCAGTCCTGTTCGACTATCACCCTGCGACCGTCTGCTTGCACAGGTATGCTGTTTCGCTTCCATACGGCCTTGACTGGCCGGGAGTACTGACAGATGAACTCTGCAGGCTGGTTTTCTGCTACATGTTGGTCCTCCATGGCACTGACCACCTCCACATTAGGATCTATAGAGGGTTGGTGGTTGGGATAAGTAATATAAGATCCCAGTGCACTTTGAAGTAGAGTTCTTCACCTCAAGCCTCTTTCAGGTTTTGGGTGATATTTAATGTAAATTAAAACTAAAATACGAGCCTAGTGCTTTATTCAGTTTAAAACAGCAACCTTTAAAACCTCACAATCTAAGTCAGTGCAGTAGCTGTTTCTTTTTCTTTCACTTAAAAGTACTGAAATGTACATGTAAGTGTAACATCTTTTGCTTCTCTACTCCACACTGACAAAGGACATGGTCAATTACAACCAGCACATGCCTAGTTGCAGTGTCAAGTCAAATTAAGGCCAATTTATTAAAAAAAGTTCATGCAGCACAAACGAACAGTGAAGACTGATGAGTGTACAATTATCTGATTTAGAGTGCATGCAAGACTATTGTTGTTTGCTCTTTTAATTTTTGGGCAAAAGGTTGCTTGCATAATTTCACTTAGATGCTTTGGCGCATCCACTAGGGCTTCAGTTGTATGCATTTCTACCTCAGACAGATTAACAAACTGAATTGTAAAATGTATGCTGGGATAGTGATAGGCTGCATGTCCAATAATATGCAAAAAAACAAAACAGACAAATAATATATTGACTTCCAAAGACACTTATTTGTGATGAATAATCTTATGTTTTTGAATTTAAATAATTTGAATGCTTCATTTGGATGCTTCAATCTTCGTGTTGAGTCTTGGTCCATATACAAGCCCAAAATCAGTTTACTAATATAATAATTAGTATGCCAACTTTGTAAGTAATTAGCAAGCCGTGAAATTGCAGCCAAATCTACTGTTTTAGGTTAGAAATACATGGCACATGGACTACATGCATCCATGAATTTTCATTAAAAATATTTTTTTTTTGTCAACCCATCTTACTGTATACTTTTGTCTAACAATAAAGGGTCTAAAAAAAAGACAATTCTAGGCATGGGTAACCCTAAGAGAGAACAAAGTGAATAAAATCCTGTTCTGTCAGGATTGCATTATTGAGTAAGGCACTTTACCAAATGATTCTCCAGGGTAGTCTGTGCAAAGACACTTTGGATTAAGAATATAATTAATATGGATAAGTAATTCAGCAATGTGAGTCTATAAATCTACAGTATGTATTAAAGTACACAAACAGTACTCAACTACTTCAAGGACAGATTAAGAAACAATTCTAGACCTATGGTCTAACTATTACTGTTATAAAAAAAAAAAACTCAAGGCAACCCAAATGCTTCACAGAATGAGTAACTGACTTTTAGATTTAGGAAATTCATGGACACAATACTAGTCCAGTGCTATTCATAATTTTAAGTTTTTAGATCTCTGTGCTGCCAAGTACTGCCAAGCACCCCTGCATTTGGTACCTTTCACTAACAGCTTGGCGGAGGACGTCAGGCCACCTGTATTGAACAGAACTGTACCCGAATCATTGGGAGAAAGGTTCCTTAGGGTGAGAGTGTGGACATGGTCTTCACCCACACTTATTTCACTGAAGGTACTGTTCTCCAAACGAGTGCCGTCTAGCCACCACTGAACTCTACCTTTGGCACGGCGAGAGAGCTGGCCGGAGAAAATGGCCTGTTCGCCCACAAACACATCTGTATTCTTTATACCCGATACTATGAGAACCTCAGCCTCTGCAGAGACCAGACACAGAATCCCTTAGATCACCAGTGTCTAAAAATACTCATATATTGAGGATGCTTCAAAAACATAATGTGAAACTTCTGAGCACATAATGACGTAATTCAAAAAGCTACAGATTTTAAATAACTTCCAACCCGTTTGAGAAAATTCTATCTGTTTGCTCTACAACAGAGGTTTTTATAACTAAAATACAGATTGCAAATTATTTAAGAGTGTTATTTGATACCTTGCACAGTGACTGATGCTGTGGTCAACTGGACTCCAGCATCACAAGTGTAGTAGCCATTGTCCTCTGGTTCCAGATCATGGACATGGAGCTCCAGCACACATCCTTCCTGTTTCATCTCAAATTTCTTACTGGGTTGGAGCACCACTCCACCCTTTCTCCACTCTATACTTTTAACTGGCTTAGAGAGTTCACAGAGCAAGGTGATACTATCTCCCTCTATTGTATTCTGGTTCTCTAACTCCTTCCGGAAGTATGCAGGTTGACCTGATGATGGGTAAGAAAAGAAGTTATAAGAATGTAAATGTCAGATTTTAAACGGCTGCTGATACCTGTGAGGGTATCAAAAATCTTCTTTGTTCCACAAGAGAGGCAGTTATAAAGAAAAGAAAACCAGAACGGGTCTACTTGAAACCCATTTGTGTTCCCTTTATCTTCAGTCATGTTGATAAAATTAAAACAAAAAAAGTCACAGGCCTACAAACCCGTTTACCTTTAACAGTAAGGGTGGCGCAGCTTTCTGCATCTTTGGTTTTGCATGTATACAGCCCTGCATCTCCTTCCTCCACCCTAAGGATGCGGAGCTGATGGACGGCTCTATCCTTGTAGAGCAGATACCGCCCCCCTGCCTTTATCATCGCTTCATCTTTGTACCAGCCGACAGAGGCCTCAGGGTCAGAAGTCATGCAGGACAGTGTGACTGTTTGACCCTCTTTGGCAGTTAAGTCCAGAGGCTTCTCTAAGAATACGACTATGGACAGGAGAAACCCAAACCCAAGTGCTGTCACATCATAATGTCTGCCTGAAGACTCTGAAACTTAAGACACTTGAAGCCATTGAACATATACTGTGGTACATTAAAAGAGCTTTACTGAGTGCAAAACTCATGTTTTAACAATTAAGGGCAGGAATTAGAGAAAAGATTATGTCTGAACCAAAAATTGATGAAAACTACATCTCTTCCTCAAAAAACACAATGTTGGAGTGTAGCTGTAGAATGGCCAAAGCAAATGGAAAAGCAGCTAGAAGCCTTTTGTTATGATTGCGCATAGAAATGAGTGCAACTACTACCTAATTACAGACAGAAGTTTGCTTGCCAACAATGAGTGCTGTTAGCCATAATGTGTCTTTTACCTTTGGGTTTCTCCTGCACCAACAAGTAGGCGATGCTCTTCTCAGGGCCAACCACAAAGGCTACATCACCTGAATCATCGGGTGTGACCATTTTCAGCACTAGGCTGTGTTCCCTCCCTCGGCAGCTGATTTGATTCAAGTCATTGTTTTGAAGGTGGTTGGAGCCGAGCCACCACTCGACATTCGTAACCCCTGTATGGGACACCTCACACTGGAAGATAGCATCCTCGCCCGTTATCACAGTCACATCCTTTAATTCTCTTGTGATCTTTACACATTCTGGGAATGGATGGAAGGAACGTGATGAAAAGGGACTATTGAGGATCTTCCGAAAAGTCAAAAGAGGTAAATATCCCACTACTGACTATCTACTAGAAGTGACTTAGAATGTGAGAGGATGTATTAATCCTACGAACAGTGTAGTTTATTATAAAAAATGTGGGATTTTGTTGTGAAATCCCAAGAATGGAGGAGAGCATCATTCTATCTTAGTTCACTGATGTTTGCTTTACATACTACTTGGATCATGCCTTAATGACAATATAAAAAGTAAAAGCTACTCAATGTATTCATAATTTGAATAATGCTAATACTAATATGTACTCTTGCTTCTGCAGGGGAACAGTGTAAAATGGAGCCCATCTTTAAAGAAGAATCAAGCATTACCTTTGACGGTCAACATAGCTTTGCTTTGTTTGTCTCCTGCTTCACATATGTACTCGCCACCATCGTCCACTGATAGCTTATGGATTTCCAAGGTTTGGAATGTGCCATCCTTCTTTATGGAATACTTCTTTCCATCAGATAGGACCTGAGTGTCCTTCTTCCAGGTCACATTGGCATCAGGGATTGAAGTTTCACAACATAATGAGGCACTGGCTCCCTCTGTGACTTCCTGGCTTGTTAACTCCTTCACAAATGATAGCACAGGGATTGCTGGCGGGAAACAGTGATACACAGAACACATTCTAAGATATGTGCAACACCCCAAACCTGCATATTACAAGATCATGAGATGGTAATACATTTTCTTCGTAGTTTCTAAATGCAGCCAGGGACAAGATAAGCCTAACCTTGGAATGCTTGAATCAGAAATTATGAAACTTTTTGAAGCACTTCTGTTACAGGCAAAATTAATCACTGATAAGGAAAAAGGAATGAAGAATAGTCAACCTTCTAAATGTAATATCCAAACAAATAAAACTCATTAAACTACCAAACAATGGTCAAGATAAGACAAATATTTGACAAGTGAAGTTTAAATAGATAACATACATGCATGAAATGTTGTGCTTTCATTGTGGCGTAGATAAAGTGGCTGGTCACAAGTAATTTTTTTGCAATATGATGCGTTAAAGCATGCATCAAAGAATAATAAATGCAAGATATATTACATACATGGAATGTATTGAATATATTTATATGGATATAGGATGATCACACACACACAAACAAACACTAAACACATGCACTAACAGTACATATGTTCGAAACCCACCAGTGAATTAAAAGAAGGTGTGAAATATAGCAAACTACTATTTAGAAAATCCAAATAATTCTTTAGTTTTACCTTTAACTGTAAGACAAGCAAAAGAAGTGTGTGCACCAACATGGAAGGACACCGTGCCCGAGTCTTTCTGGGTGACACTTCTTAGTGTAAGTGTGTGCCTTTTGCCTTCCATTCGGATTTCATTCATCTCATTGTTCTGTAGTGGAACGTCTTGCAGCGTCCACTGAACAATGAGAGCATTGTCATGAGAGACAAGGCATTCGAAATGAACGTCCTCGCTTTCATTGACAATGCAGCTCTTCAAGCCAGTTAAGATCATGATTTCAGGTTCTGAAAGCAAAATCAGGTTTCATTTTATCAATAGTCAACAAGTCAAAAACTAGATAAATTCCCACAGTATCAGTTTAGCATCCATAATAATCCAAGTCTTTTCAACTAAATTCACAGCAGGTCATGACAGAAATTGCTATCCTTTATATAAAAATAACTGTTAAACTACACTGGGAAAAGTGTATAATGTTATGTATATTGCATAAAAACTCCTATACTTAAATAATCTAGCAGAATGAAATAGGAGTGCATTGAAGAAAGGTTGTGCAAGGTTTAATGAATTGTTATGTGCAAAACCACGTGCACAGAGAAGGTGGTACAAGCATACCATAAGAAAGGATGGATGGCATAGTACTTAGAATGGTATGGAGTAGATGCGTGAGCATCAAAAAAGGATGATCAGGTAAAGTTAGGAGGGATGAAGACTTTTACAAGGTGATTCATACCCTTCACAGCAAGTTTGGAAGATGTCCGATCATGTTCCGTTTCACAGCAGTACTCTCCAGCGTCTCCTCCTTGCAGCTTGTAAATGATAAGCTCAGCAACAGCCCCATCTTGCTTGAGCTGATATTTGTTGCTTGCTTCTATTACACTCTTGTCTTTCCTCCAGATGACTTTGGCTCCAGCTTTGTCAAGTTCACATCGAAAAACTGCATTTTCCCCAGCTACACTTTCCAAATTTTTCAGAAATGATTTGAAAAGAACTGGCAGTGCTGCAAATGGTGAGTAAACGTGTTTAAGGTCATCATGAAGAAACAGCTTCAAATGATACAGGAAAGAAAGACGGTTCAATCCAAGCCTACCCTTAACTTCCAGATATGCAATGCTTTGGCGTTCTCCAGTGTCACAGATATAGTCACCAGAGTCCTCAGGTTCAAGGTCATGTATGAACAGTTGGGCACGGTGGCCATCTTGCTTGAATTCATATTTAGCACAGGGGCATAGGCCAATTTCACCCCTGCGCCACTCAACTGGAATGTCTGCTTTGGAGAGCTCACACTGGAAGCTGATGCTCTCTCCCTCAACAGCTGTCTGGTTCTTCAGTGCTTGTGTGAAGATGGCTGGAAGTGCTGCCAATGCAAATAGTGGTATAAGATGCAAGAGATTAATTCTGTAGAGTTATAAAAAGATTTTCCAGACAAGTAAAACCTGAAGGCAACAGTTCAAACAAACATTATAGTACACCAACAGGATACAATTACATTTCTTTCTTAAGCTTTATCTTCATCTTCATAATAAGCTGTGGAAGCATTCATACTTCACAAACACAGGGTGTGACAATGCAGTTCAAAGATGGATTAGAATGATGGAAAAATTAATGAAGCAGTTGGTCTTCTCCTACCATTAACCTTGACATTGGCTGTGGTAATGCTGTCTCCGCAGTCACAAGCATAGTCTCCAGCATCTTCAGGTTTAACATCAGGGATCTTCATCTCAACAGTAGAGCCAACTTGCTTGATGAGGTACTTTCCTCCAGAATGGATCACCTGTGTTCCTTTCTTCCAAACCACAGGAACTCCAGGTTTGGAGAGCGCACACTGGAAGATGATGCTTTCTCCTTCAATAGCTGTCTGGTTTTTCAGCTCTTGTGTGAAGGTGGCTGTAAGAACTGCCAATTTAGAGAGTGGAATAAGATGCCAGAGATTTAGTTCTATAGATTTAGATGAGGTAAAAAAAACATTTTCCAGAGAAGTAAGATCAATACAATACAAATGCAATGGTCCAAACAATGGTTACAATTAAATCCTTTTTTTGGCCTTAACTTCATATTAAATTGAGGAATCATTCGCACTTTACAACCAAGAAATGCATGTGACAATGCATTTCAAAGATGGATTAGAATGATGGAAAAATTCATGAAACAGTTGGTCTTCTCCTACCGTTAACCTTGACATTGGCAGTTGTCATGCTGTCTCCGCAATCACAAACATAATCTCCAGCATCTTCAGGTTTGACATCAGTGATCTTCAGCGCAACAGTAGAGCCAACTTGCTTGATGAGGTAGTTTCCTCCAGAATGGATCACCTGTGTTCCTTTCCTCCAAACCACAGGAACTTCAGGTTTTGAGAGTTCACATCGCAAAGTAACACTGTCCCCTTCCTGAATCTCTTGCTTCTGTAGCTCACGTTTGAAGACCACTGGTAATGCTGAGGAATCGGGTAAAGTTGTTGAACCAGCAACAGGATCTCATGAGATTAAGTTTACACTTTGCACCAAAAATATTATTTTCACCGATAGATGTAAAACATTCTTCTACAATGGCTTAACTTATATTTTGACCACCTTCTAAGATGTTTAACTAAAACAACCACCATGATGTAAATGGGAAAACGATAAACTAGACAAACAACTTAGTACATTAGAATAGCCAAATAAACAGCACTATACACTACCCTACATTAAATGAAGACATTATTAATGGACAGCTGTTTAGATCAGAAAACAGGAAGTTTCTTCATTGTTGAAGACGGCTCAAATAAAAGATGAGTCCTACCATTGACTTTGATGTTAGCAGTGCAGATGTTGTCTCCACAATCACAAACATAATCTCCAGCGTCTTCAGGTTTGACATCAGGGATCTTCAGCTCAACAGTAGAGCCAACTTGCTTGATGATATACTTGCCTCCAGAATGGATCACCTGTGACCCTTTCCTCCAAACCACAGGAACTCCAGGTTTGGAGAGTTCACAGTGCAAAGTGACACTGTCCCCCTCTTGAAGCTGTTGGTTCTGCAGCTCACGCTTGAAGACAACTGGTAATGCTGAGGAATCAGGCAAAGTTGTTGAACCAGGAACAGGATCTTGTGAGATTAATTTGTCATTGTTAGGTTTTTGAGGGTTCAAATAAAAGCTCAGTCCTACCATTGACTTTGATGTTAGCAGTGGTGATGTTGTCTCCACAATCACAAGCATAGTCTCCAGCATCTTCAGGTTTAACATCAGTGATCTTCAGCTCAACAGTAGAGCCAACTTGTTTGATGAGGTACTTTCCTCCAGAATGGATCACCTGTGTTCCTTTCCTCCAAACCACAGGAACTCCAGGTTTGGAGAGTTCACATTGCAGAGTAACACTGCCACCTTCATCACATGCTTGGTTTAGCAGTACTTCCGTAAACTGAATTGGGTGAGCTGTTGAGGCAGGCACTCATTGAGTATAAAAAGTCAATTTGTACAGTATTCTGTAATAACACAGAATGTGTACAGGCAAAACATATAAGCTTTATAATATTCCTTTCTAAATATTAAACCTAAGTCAGGAATGTTAAGGAATACGCTATCAAACTACTAATGTATGTTGTTATATAAGAATATAAGAATGTTTGTTATCAACATCAATGAGACCATCTAAAGAGAAACACTCCTCAGCTTCACATGGTCATTTAAAGCAATCCAGTTGGTATGTTTAAAAAAATAAATAAAAAAATCAACATCAAGGCTGGTGACATGATGTGTTGAAAATATTCAAGATATACAATCAATGTCTGAACCATTTTCCATCCATGAGCAGTATGGCAGAATAAATTAAGACTGAATAATTTTTTGGATTATTTCAAACTGCTAAAAACTACAAAGTGTTAAATTTAGAGATACAAATCAAACTAAAAAAAGGTAGGTTTGAAATGAAAAATTATGAAAGACCAGCCTTCAAAGGTAAAGGACAGTCTACAGAATAACACACAAATGTGTGGGAGCAGAGTGAATAGCTCCTGACCGAAAAATTACAGAAAAATCAAAGCAAGAGGACACCACTAATGTTCCCGAACCTGCTTCTTTAACTAAACCAAGTACACTAACAAAGATGAATATCATGAGAGGCAAACTAATCTCTTCCCTACTACCATAATCCACTCCTGCCCTCTTCACCTCTGACATTGCAAGTACAATGTGATGAAACGGAAAACACTCCAACTAGAGTCAACCATTTAAAATACATATTCACCATGTATGACACTAGAACAAGCAGTGGTGCAGATAAAGTTGAGGGAGAAAATGGATCAATGGCCATTGATTTTTAAGTGAAAGAATATAAGTAAAACAAAACAAAATCAGATTATCAACATGTGCTTCACTTATACTTATGCAAAGACTTTTTTAAAACATAAAAGATGAACAGCTATTTTGCTTAAGTTTGTCTGGTAATAAATGTAGGAGCAGCAGTACTGAAAATTGTCCAAACAAGAATGCTTAAAGAGAATATCCAAAGGATTTTTGATGCATGGGTGAGAAGTTTAAATATTTATCAACAAAATAAAGACATACCACAACAAAGAGTGCACAAAAACACTATCGTAATGCAAAAGTGAATGTGTGGCCACATGCTGTTCCATTCAAAAGAATACATTACTGAACATTTTGACTGGGATTCACATTTCCATTAGCACATAAACGTGCTGCACGACAGGCAGGAAATATACATCAGTTTCATACCACTGAGCTCTGCCTGTTTCTCTTTCTTCTGCTTCTGGAAGTCTGATTCAAGGGCATCAGAAGGACGGAGGAACTTTAGAGCTGTGATAAAAGACACATTCATGTAAACTGCAACCCTTGGCCAAAACCGTAAGGATCTTAAAACACAAATAGCAATGCCTGTATCAGCCATGTTGGACAATAGAGGCATATACAGAACAAGCAGACATCCTATATTAAAATTTATTTTACAGAAGCATTCATGCATGTTGATAAATGAAAGCCCCCAAAGCCTGACTGATTTCTCACTGACCATGGCCAACAAGAAATCAAGCTGCTGACCAAGAAAACAAAGCACGGACAGTCATTCCGTACATTCGCTCTGTACAATCAACTGATGCCCCCTGCTCAGTAGTCTGCTTTTGAAGTCCTGGTTGGTATGAGGGTGTATGGGCCTTCAGAACTGTGACAAAAAACATTTTGCAGATGGAATCACAGACAATGAAATCTCAAAGAAGACGTGTCCAAAGCTTGGAACACATGCAAGTTCTTTGTCAAGTAGTGTACAAACCCAATTCCAAAAAAGTTGGGAAACTGTACAAATTGTGAGTAAAAAAGGAATGGAATAATTTACAAATCTCACAAACTTATATTTTATTCACAATAGAATATAGATAACATATCAAATGTTGAAAGTGAGACATTTTGAAATGTCATGCCAAATATTGGCTCATTTTGGATTTCATGAGAGCTACACATTCCAAAAAAGTTGGGACAGGTAGCAATAAGAGGCCGGAAAAGTTAAATGTACATATAAGGAACAGCTGGAAGACCAATTTGCAACTTATTAGGTCAATTGGCAACATGATTGAGTATAAAAAGAGCCTCTCAGAGTGGCAGTGTCTCTCAGAAGTCAAGATGGGCAGAGGATCACCAATTCCCCCAATGCTGCAGCTAAAAATAGTGGAGCAATATCAGAAAGGAGTTTCTCAGAGAAAAATAGCAAAGAGTTTGAAGTTATCATCATCTACAGTGCATAATACCATCCAAAGATTCAGAGAATCTGGAACAATCTCTGTGCGTAAGGGTCAAGGCCGGAAAACCATACTGGATGCCCGTGATCTTCGGGCCCTTAGACGGCACTGCATCACATACAGGAATGCTACTGTAATGGAAATCACAACATGGGCTCAGGAATACTTCCAGAAAACATTGTCGGTGAACACAATCCACCGTGCCATTCACCGTTGCCGGCTAAAACTCTATAGGTCAAAAAAGAAGCCATATCTAAACATGATCCAGAAGCACAGGTGTTTTCTCTGGGCCAAGGCTAATTTAAAATGGACTGTGGCAAAGTGGAAAACTGTTATGTGGTCAGACGAATCAAAATTTGAAGTTCTTTTTGGAAAACTGGGACGCCATGTCATCTGGACTAAAGAGGACAAGGACAACCCAAGTTGTTATCAGCGCTCAGTTCAGAAGCCTGCATCTCTGATGGTATGGGGTTGCATGAGTGCGTGTGGCATGGGCAGCTTACACATCTGAAAAGGCACCATCAATGCTGAAAGGTATATCCAAGTTCTAGAACAACATATGCTCCCATCCAGACATCGTCTCTTTCAGGGAAGACCTTGCATTTTCCAACATGACCATGCCAGACCACATACTGCATCAATTACAACATCATGGCTGCGTAGAAGAAGGATTCGGGTACTGAAATGGCCAGCCTGCAGTCCAGATCTTTCACCCATAGAAAACATTTGGTGCATCATAAAGAGGAAGATGCGACAAAGAAGACCTAAGACAGTTGAGCAACTAGAAGCCTGTATTAGACAAGAATGGGACAACATTCCTAAACTTGAGCAACTTGTCTCCTCAGTCCCCAGACGTTTGCAGACTGTTATAAAAAGAAGAGGGGATGCCACACAGTGGTAAACATGGCCTTGTCCCAACTTTTTTGAGATGTGTTGATGCCATGAAATTTAAAATCAACTTATTTTCCCTTAAAATGATCAATTTTCTCAGTTTAAACATTTGATATGTCATCTATGTTGTATTCTGAATAAAATATTGAAATTTGAAACTTCCACATCATTGCATTCTGTTTTTATTCACAATTTGTACAGTGTCCCAACTTTTTTGGAATCGGGTTTGTAATATGTTACTCCACTGTGTATTGCGACTCAAGTCAGACTAGTGCTGAAGCCTTAAACCCATATCTGTGTTCCACATATGAACCACACTAAACTGAAGAGGCTGCAAGCTGGAAGAAACCGACAGACAGCGATGATGAAAAGTTTAAGGCAGTTCCAAAACAGATGTCTGACAGAATATGACATTACAGCACAGCAGGCAGAGCCACAGCAGGATACAAAAAATTATCTAAAAGTTATATTTAACCATATACAGAATTATTCTGTTTCCCATGAAAAACTTTTTCAGTTTTTTTTTCCGCTTTGATATGTCATCTGCAAGAGCGTAATTTTTTGCTTCACACTTGAAACAAACAATTACATTTTGTTCATTACTGTAGCATATAAGTGGAATCTTAAAATAACAAATGCAACAAATAAAACCACTAACAACACTAAACAAGCAATATTAAATTGTGTAACACTGTTTTTTTTTAAACAGTTGTTTGTTAGAATAGTGCAGCTTGGGTGGGGAGAGTAATTAATTATTTAAAAAATCCCAGAAAGAATAAGAATGATTCATACCCTTGATCTTCATATTGGCTGTGGTTGCCTTGTCTCCACATACACATGTGTAGTCTCCTTCATCTTCAGATTTGAGATCTGTGATCTTCAGCTCCACCTTTGAGGCAATCTGCCTGATGACGTACTTTCCTTCAGATTGGATAACATGGCTTCCTTTTTTCCACTGCACAGGGACAACAGGTTTGGAAAGCTCGCAGGACAGAGTAGCACTGCCTCCTATATCACACTCCAGGTTTTGCAGCTCATGTATGAAGACCACTGGTAGTGCTGAGGAACCGTGAAAAGATGTTGGAACCATGTTACACAAACGACTCAGGACAACATCCAATAACTGGATTGAACAGAAGTCTTTCCAGTCTTCTAGTCTAGTTTTCTAGTTTTTAAGTCATTAAGCCCACCAATCAAGCAAATTATTGATTTAAAAACAGCCATTAGTGTAATAAGAAAAAACCCTGATCAACGATAACTTCAGGGCACAGTAGAGTATGGTGTTGAATGTAATACCCTACATTTAATCACAATTAAAAAAAGATGTAATTCCTACCATTGACGATAACGGTAGATGAGGTCTTGTTAAACCCACAATCACAACTATAGACTCCAGCATCTTCAGGTTTGACATCAGTGATATTCAGCTCAAAAACAGAACCAACTTGCTTGATATGGTATTTCTCTCCAGAATGGATCACTTGTGTTCCTTTCCTCCAAACCACAGGCACTCCTGGTTTGGAGAGCTCACAATGAAGAGTAACACTGTCTGCCTCTTGACACTCCTGGTTTTGTAGTTCTCGTTTAAAGGTCAATGCTAAGAAGCAATTGATGTTTAAACAGGTTGTTAGTGTAATTAATGCACTTTGCACAAAATGTAAAAGCACAACATGAAAAAACATTCAAAAACCTCCCAAAGAAAACAAGAGACATAAGATCACAAAAACTGTGAACATCTTACAGGACAAGATTACCAGATATTTGTATTAGTGAAGTTAACCTACTAATGCCAGATAATGCTATAATATCTATATAAGTTCCCATCAAGCGACTAACCAGTAAAGGTCAAAATATAAAAAGTCTTTGTACTCAGTAAAATACGGAAGTCCTAAGAAGCCATGGATTATGATTATTTTTCTTTCTTGTATTCTGGTGATCACGACATAACAAAAGTTGTTTTCTCATTATCACGACTTAATAAAAGTTGTTCTTGTGATCATGACTTAATTTCCTTGTGATCTCGACATAACAAAAGTTGTTTTCTTGTTATCACAACTTAATTTTCTCGTGATCTCGTGGCTTTTCATACCACTGCTATGCTGATAACACTCAACTCTGCCTCTCATTCCATCCTGATGATCCGACGATAGCTGCTCGCATTTCAGCTTGTCTAAGAGACATTTCTTGCTGGATGACTGACCATCACCTTCAACTCAACCTGGCTAAGACAGAACTGCTTGTGGCTCCATCAAACCCATCGTTTCATCACAATTTCACCATCCAGTTAGGCACATCAACCATAACTCCTTCAAAAACAGCCAGAATCCTTGAAGTTATGATTGATGATCAGCTTACGTTCTCAGACCACATTGCTAAAACTGTCCGGTCCTGCAGATTTGCTTCATTCAACATCAAGAAGATCAGGCTCTTTCTTTTGGAACATGCTTCACAACTCCTTGCTCAAGCTCTTGTTCTGTCCAGGCTGGGCTATTGCAATGCTCTCTTGGTAGGCCTTCCAGTCAGTTCTATCAAACCTTTACAATTAATCCATTTACAATTAATCCAGAACGCGGCAGCAAGATACATTTTTAATGAGCCATTTAACGTCACACCTCTGTTTATCAATTTGCACTGGCTACCAATAGCTGCTCGCATAGAATTCAAGGCATTAATGTTTGCCTACAAAACCATCACTGGCTCTGCACCCCTTTACCTAAATTCCTTACTTCAGACTTATGTACCCTCTAGAAGCTTGCGTTCTGCAAGTGAACGTCGCTTTATTGTGCCATCCCAAAGAAGCACAAAATCACTTTTACGGACTTTTAAATTAAATGTTCCCTCCTGGTGGAATGACCTGCCCAACTCAATCCGAGCAGCTGAGTCCTTAGCCATCTTCAAGAATCGGCTAAAAACACAGCTTCCATCTTTATTTGACCCTCTAACTCTAGCACTCTATTCTAATTCTATTCTTTAAAAAAAAAACACTTGTCCCTTTTAGACTTGCACTCTATTAATTTGCTGCTTGTTTTCTTTAAAAAAAAAACGTAACACTAGCTTTCTAATTTTTTGTATTCTATCAGTTTTCTTTTCATTTATTATACAATTAACAAAAGCAAAAAAAGACCTCTTAACACTAGCTTGCTCTATTCTTTTTCTATTCTATCTGTTTTATTTTTATTTATTATATAATTTTAAAAACCCTTGCTACGTGTACTGCATTAAGCTAACTGAGACTTGTTATAGCACTTGTATATCATTGCTCTTTTGTTGATTTTGATTGCTTCCATTGTCCTCATTTGGTCCTCGCTTTGGAAAAGCGTCTGCTAAAATGACTAAATGTGATCACGACTTCATTTTCTTGCGAGCGCGATGCTCGATATAACAAAAGTTGTGTTTTTTTTAGAATGATTGTTTGATTTTTAAAACAATGCATCGTGAGTCTACTGTTGCTATAGTAATGAATGCAACTTTGACTTGCATCAGATCAACAGATAAACTGTACTAATACTGCATGTTGTGGATATTTCAGCAAATTTTGCTTCGATTGGTAATAACATCTACAATAAATAAATAAATATAGGCTAATCAATCACTGTTGACAACATTGGTTTTAATAAGCAATAAATTTAATATCACACCGAACACCACTGCGGTAGTGATATAATTATATTTATTCAAGCATTTAACGTTTATAAGTTAATTAAATGTCAGTAATGAACAATACTGCACAAATTATAGCAATCACGAAGAAGGTCCACTCTGTCCCAAACACGTAGAGTAAAGTAGATACAGGTGCATCCCAATAAATTAGAATGTTGTGGAAAAGTTCATTTATTTCAGTAATTCAACTCAAATTGTGAAACTCGTGTATTAAATAAATTCAATGCACACATACTGAAGTAGTTTAAGTCTTTGGTTCTTTTAATTGTGATGATTTTGGCTCACATTTAACAAAAACCCACCAATTCACTATCTCAACAAATTAGAATATGGTGACATGCCAATCAGCTAATCAACTCAAAACACCTGCAAAGGTTTCCTGAGCCTTCAAAATGGTCTCTCAGTTTGGTTCACTAGGCTACACAATCATGGGGAAGACTGCTGATCTGACAGTTGTCCAGAAGACAATCATTGACACCCTTCACAAGGAGGGTAAGCCACAAACATTCATTGCCAAAGAAGCTGGCTGTTCACAGAGTGCTGTATCCAAGCATGTTAACAGAAAGTTGAGTGGAAGGAAAAAGTGTGGAAGAAAAAGATGCACAACCAACCGAGAGAACCGCAGCCTTATGAGGATTGTCAAGCAAAATCGATTCAAGAATTTGAGTGAACTTCACAAGGAATGGACTGAGGCTGGGGTCAAGGCATCAAGAGCCACCACACACAGACGTGTCAAGGAATTTGGCTACAGTTGTCATATTCCTCTTGTTAAGCCACTCCTGAACCACAAACAACGTCAGAGGCGTCTTACCTGGGCTAAGGAGAAGAACTAGACTGTTGCCCAGTGGTCCAATGAGAGCAAGTTTTGTATTTCATTTGGAAACCAAGGTCCTAGAGTCTGGAGGAAGGGTGGAGAAGCTCATAGCCCAAGTTGCTTGAAGTCCAGTGTTAAGTTTCCACAGTCTGTGATGATTTGGGGTGCAATGTCATCTGCTGGTGTTGGGCCATTGTGTTTTTTGAAAACCAACGTCACTGCACCCGTTTACCAAGAAATTTTGGAGCACTTCATGCTTCCTTCTGCTGACCAGCTTTTTGAAGATGCTGATTTAATTTTCCAGCAGGATTTGGCACCTGCCCACACTGCCAAAAGCACCAAAAGTTGGTTAAATGACCATGGTGTTGGTGTGCTTGACTGGCCAGCAAACTCACCAGACCTGAACCCCATAGAGAATCTATGAGGTATTGTCAAGAGGAAAATGAAAACCAAGAGACCAAAAAATGCAGATTAGCTGAAGGCCACTGTCAAAGAAACCTGGGCTTCCATACCACCTGAGCAGTGCCACAAACTGATCACCTCCATGCCACGCCGAATTGAGGCAGTAATTAAAGCAAAAGGAGCCCCTACCAAGTATTGAGTACATGTACAGTAAATGAACATACTTTCCAGAAGGCCAACAATTCACTAAAAATTTTTTTTTATTGGTCTTATGAAGTATTCTAATTTGTTGAGATACTGAATTGGTGGGTTTTTGTTAAATGCGAGCCAAAATCATCACAATTAAAAGAACCAAAGACTTAAACTACTTCAGTCTGTGTGGATTGAATTTATTTAATACACGAGTTTCACAATTTGAATTGAATTACTGAAATAAATGAACTTTTCCATGACATTCTAATTTATTGAGATGCACCTGTAATAGTATAGAACACCCCATTGGTTATAATCAGTTCTATACTGCCACCTGTTGGCGCAGTTGGGTGACTTAGAGAACAACTTTTCTTATGTAAAGATCACAAGAAAACTATTTTCGTTATGTCAAGATCACGAGAAAACAAGAAAGAAAAATAATAATCATTCATGGCCTCTTAGGACTTCCGTAGTAAAGAGTGAACATGAAAAAATAAGTCAGACCGAATTAATTTCATACCCTTGATCTTAATGTTTGTTGTAGTCTTTTTGTCCCCACACAAACATGTATATTGTCCAGCATCATCAGGTCTGAAGTCAGCAATTTTCAACTCAACAGTAGCCCCATCTTGTTTGATGTGGTACTTTTCTCCAGAATGGAGCACCTGCGTTCCTTTCTTCCAAACAACAGGAACTCCAGGCTTTGAGAGTTCACAGTGAAGAGTAACGCAGTCTCCTTCGTTACACTCTTGGCTTTGTAGCTCATGTCTGAAGATCACTGGTAATGCTGAAGAGCAATTGCGTGATGACATAAATTTAAGGTGTATAAAAATTTGTAAAAATCTGTACAGTTTTTTGACTACACATGCATTGACATTTTAGAGTATCGCTTGATCGGAGTACTAATAAATTTAATTAAAGTAAGCAAAAAATTTATAGAAATCAATGAATGGATGCATTTAAATTAATAATCTTTTATCCATACCACTGACAACAACATTTGCTGTTGTTTTTTCGTTTCCACATTCACAGGAATATACTCCACTGTCCTCAGTCACTAAGTCTGAAATCTGTAGCTCACACATGGTGTCCATCTGCGTTATCTGATATCTTCCCCCATGTTTCAGACTTTCGGTTCCCTTTTTCCATTGCACTTGGCAGCCAGGTTTTGAGAGCTCGCAGGAAAGTAAGACTTTCCCACCTTCAGTAACTTGCTGGTTCTTCATTTGCCCCTTAAACCCAGCTGGTACCACTGGAGAATGAACAAGCATAATATAATTAAAATTCTTCTTCATAGTTTTAGCATCCATAAGACAGGATAGAAGATCACTAGGATGAGATTATTAGGGTTTGACATGGAAGCTAGGATAAGACAAAAATTTTCTATAATCACAGAAATATTAAAACAAACAGAAACAATTCCAACACATCCATTGCACCAGGACTACATAAATATACATACATACAAAGTCCAGACAAGACTGAACCTCACAAACCAAGACAAAACACAAAAGTGCAAGTGCCATTTCTAAAATTTGACAATTTGACAGACTGCTGAAAGACACCACCTGGAAATTGATCTGTCCAATAAAAACTAAATTATATTCCAGATAACTAAGACAAGCATTCTAATGGTGCATTATCACCATGTGCAGACTCCATAGTACAAAGTGTGTGGACCCAAATAAATGAATGAAATGTTCCTATCATGACAGTTGTTGAACTATTCCAGCATTTCTGGAAATAAAAGACTGTTTAACCACATTTTCACCAAACTGAGTTGCTAGAAATCTACATGACATGTAGAGTACCAACATAATTGTAAAAGTACAATATAGAAGTACCAATTCTCTGAACTGAGGTGATCATCTGCTGGCTCAGCAATGCATGAGACTATCAGCAAAATGCCTGGCAGTAGCATTGCCACACAGGAACCAAAAGTGAAATGTCAAATGCAGAAATACAACACATGGTGAATCAAATTAAAAACTGTACTTACCAGAAATATTTTCAAAGACCACTGAGACATCAAAAAAGACTACATCAAAGCTTTAAACATACAGTAAAAAACACTAGAGTGTATCCATTTAAGAATATAAGATTCTCTGGCTTCAAGTTATTCTTTTCTAGATAAGATAATACATTGCTATCAACAGCAAGAAAGAGAGAATTCTGATTTCTGTGGAAAGTGGAAAGCCAGGTTCTTACCTTTCACTGTCAATTTGGCTGTACTCTTCGTAGAGCCAATGTCACAGGTGTATACCTCGCTGTCACTCTTCTCCAGATCCTTCACTTTGAGGATGAGGACAGTTCCCTTTTGCATAAGCTCATACCTTCCTCCAGCCCTAATCTCCTTTGTTCCTTTAAGCCAGGTGACTTCAGAGGCAGGTTGGGCTGTCTCACAATCAAAGGAGACAGCACTCTTCTCTTCTGCAGAGGCATCCTTTAGCTCACGAATGAATTTGTTGGCCAGTTCTACAGAGGGGATGAAATACTAAGGTAAATATATCTCCTCTTTAGGCTTGTGGGATTTCCCCTGTTGTGTGTTTAAAGAAAGGATGACAGAATCTTAAAACCATAAGTTTTAAAAACCTCACCTTTGATCTCCAGTTTAGCCTTGGAGGTTGGACCACCGGTGACCTCACAGCTGTATTCTCCAGAGTCTTTTTCAGTGACGTTGCGGATTGTCAGTTTTACAAGCGTCTGCTCCTGACTTATTTCGTATTTCTGGCTTTTTCTGATAGACTTGCCATCCTTTGACCACTTCACTTCCAGTCCAGATTGAGAAAGGTCACAGGAGAATGTGGCATCGTCACCAATTTTGGCACTGACACCCTGAAGCTCTTTAGATATGGTAGGAGCTTCACCTAGCTCCCAAAAATAAGATACACCTTGATCAAGCAAAACCGTATACGTGTAAAAGCTATAATTCAATTCATTGCTCTTATTTTCATTGCATTCCCCCGCTTACCCTCAACAGTAAGTGTTGCCTTTGAGCTCAAATCCTTGAGAGTGAAGACCACCTCACCAGAATCAGAAGCTGAGACAGCTTTGATTGTTAAGGTATACTTGCGCCCTTTGCTGCTTATCTGGAAACGGCCTCCATCAGTGACAGGTTGGCCTTTTAGGCTCCAGGTGCACTTCTCTGAACTTTCTCGGGACAAGATACACTCGAATGTGCAGTTTTCACCTGCTTTGGCCTCAACCGACTTAAAACGCTTAGTGATCCCGATGTGGATATCTGGGGTCAACAGCAAAAACATTATTGAAAAACACTAACAACTTCATCTGTTTTCATAAAAACATAAAGGATAAAACTACAACAAAGAGACACTACAGTGTCATTGTAGCACAACGGTACTACATAAGTTTGTTGTCATACCTCTAACAGTGACCTTGGACTTGGAGAGGTCTGTGCCAAGATCACAGCTGTACTCCCCGGCGTCAGCTTGCGTGACATCATGGATAGTAAGTCCCAAGGTCTTACCATCATGGAGGAGCTCATACTTTTTGCCTGCTGACAGTACTGTACCATCTTTGCGCCACACAGGGGCCACTCTGGGCTTTGAGGCTTCACACTTAAGGATAACTGTACCCTTCTCCTCTGCAACTACATCATCCAGCAACTTCAGGAAGATGGCTTTCTTCTCTGGATGTCAATAAATAAAAAGTGTATTAAGCCAAAACTTAGTAAAAAGAATGTCTTAATCCATCACATTCAAAGCATTTCTGTAAATCTGCATTATTTGGACATCATCATACAAACCCACCTTTGACCTTTAGGCAGACAGTTTCTTTCACATCCCTGATGCTGAATGACACCTTCCCACCATCCACAGGTGCTAGGTTCTTGAGGGTGAGCGTATGGGTCTTATCCACATGGGTGACGGCATTGACCTCATTGTTGAAGAGTGGCTTGTCATTGAGTGTCCACTGGACCTCTTCATCAGCATAGTTAACCTCACAGGTGAACATAGCATCACCATCTTCATCCACCTCCACGTCTGTCAGATGTTTGGTGATCTGGATTTTACGCACTATGTATGTCAGAAAAATAAATAACCAGCGTGATCGGAATGGCATTTATTTTACCAACCGCACCTATATAATGAGGTCTTGGCGTAGTCAAAGCAGATCTCTCGCAAGCAGCCCTAATCCTAACGGGGTGGATGTATAAAGGGAATGCAATCTGAAACATGCTTTGAATGCCTTCTTTGTGACTTTACCTTCTACTTTGATAACGGCTTTGCTCTCACAGACCCCGACCTGACAGCAATACTCTCCAGAGTCCTCTGCACTCAAAGCTTGTATGATCAGCTGCACATTAGCGTCCTTTTGCTTCATGCTGTATTTGCTAGAAGCCTCCAAAGCAGTTTGACCCTTAAACCACTGTACTTCTTTTGGTGGGGCAGAGAACTTGCAGCATAGTGTGGTGGAAGTCTTCTCCTTGGCTGACCCATATTTGAGAGGCTCCAGGACTTCAATGGGACGCTCTGTGGGGTGATATGAACAGTGACTTTGAAAAAAAAAACACAAAAGTGCACAAAACTACAACAAACATTGCATTTCATCTGTAGTAAACATAAATAGAGCAACATTTTTCAAAGCACTTCTGCGGTTTCTGTAGGAATTTTATCAGGCATCATTAATCAATGGTGTCTATTTTGCAAATCTTGGTTAAACCAAGTGTCTAACCTTTCACTTTGAGATCAGCTGTTGATTTACTCTTTCCGGCGGTGAACTGTACTGGTCCTGACATGGAGGCCTTGGTCTTTTTAAAAGTGAGGCGGTGCATGGTTCCCTCTTTCTCCATCTCAATATCTGCACTCTCCTTCAGCTGTTCCCCATTTAGCATCCACTTCACTGGCTTGACTGTCTCCACACTGACTTCCACCTCAAAGTGGGCAGCAAATGGCTCGGTCACCTCCACAGAACTCAGCTCCTGTACTATGCTGATAGCCTGCTCTGAAGGTTGTGATGAGACAGTATAGTGATGTGTCAAGAATTGGCTATATCAAAAAATGTTATGTAGTACAATTCTTTAAAAACACTTTAGACATAGGAAGACAGATACTAATGAAGCTACATGGAAATAAACAAAATGCATGGAAGGAAAATTTACATAACAGTACTTAAAATTGGAAGCAAGCATACATTTGTCCCTGTTTGGAAGGGGAAATTAATTAGATAAATACGATTTTTAAATATGGTTGAAATCACATACAACGATAATTCTTGTCTGTTGCAGATCAATCAAAAATTGAACTACAAACTGTTATTAAGTAATAAAAAACATGCAATCACATTTTGTATGCCCTCTTTACAGTCAGTTTCAAAAGCATTTTAGTTTGTAATGTATGGTTGTGTTTCATGGATTCTGTTGTGATTTCATCCAAAATTTTTATTTTATTCTTTAAATCATAATTGAAATTTTTTTTACCCTCTACTAGTAGCTGACATGAAGTCTTATCATCAATAGCGTCACACATGTATGTATCCTCATCATCAGAATCCACGTCAATGATGGTGAGCTTCCTGTAGATGTCCTCACTGGTGATCTCGTGCTTCTTGCTGGGTTTGATCTCTGACTTGTTCTTGTACCACATGACTTTAGCGTTGGCCCTTGACACCTGACACTCTAAATATGCACGGTGTTTGTACATGGCGATTTTGTCTCTCAGTTTCTTCACAAATCTGACAGGCAGTTCTGTAATGATTATAAGGGAGCTTAGGGGATCTACAGATTTGTTAGACAACTGTAGAAATGCTACACAGCCCAGGCTGTAGTTCATCAGTCTTAACACTAAATGCAAAATGCATGCAGATATGACCGACACGACAACGTACCTTTAACCTTCAGTTTAGCGGCTGAAGAGGCCTTCTCAGCTGTGAACTTGATTTCACCTGCGTCCTCAGCCTTTACAGATTTGAAGAGTAGAATGTATGTTCTTCCTAAGACGGAGAGTGTTAAATGAGTTTGAGAGCTATTAATCTGTCCCTCTTGGAGATGAATTGTTTATTTGCATTTTGTGAACATAGAAATAAAAAGGAACTAATTGTTTTGTCATTTAAACTATGTACTGCCATACTGTGCTGCATGTTTGTCAATATACAAGCATTTCTACAAGCACACCTACGCTTTCAAGAAGAAAGCAATCAAAGTCCATTCTGTTCAACTCACCCTCCTGCCTTATCTTTATGTTGTCACCGGCTTTGAGTTTGGCATCTCCTTTGTGCCACTGAGCCTCGACCTCATCGTGAGAGACCTCACAGACAATCGTTGCACTCTCCTTCTCTGTCACCTCCACGTCCTGCAGCGGCTTCACTATTTTAATATCTCTGGCTGCAAGAATTCAAATACAAACATTTATTCAAGTGACACTACAAAATGCTTCAGCAGAGTTCAGCAGTGATTAAATGTCCCACTCAGAAGTCGTTCATCTTTACCGTGAACAGTGAGCTTGGCTGAAGTATTGTCATCTGTTGTTCTACATATATACTGGCCCTGGTCTTCATATGCACACTTGTGGATGATGAGGGTGCGCTTATTGGCCTGGGAATGGATGCCAAATTTCTTTCCTGGCTTTAGTTCCGCATCATCCTGATGGAGAAATAATGACACAGTTACATTTTTTTTTTACATTATACATTACATTTTGTATTTCATCCATATGTGACTACACAATTTATTTTTTAACAATTCCAAATTAAATACTAATACCTTAAACCACTTGACATCAGCATTTGCTCTTGACACCTCACATTCAAAAGTGATTTTCTCCTTTTCAGGAGAACTGATATCCCCTAGATGTTTGAGGATCTTTGCAGCAGGCTCTGTGCACACAACGCCAATAATTAGGGTTGCAATTGTTATACAGTATATAGATTTTAACATTGGTGGTTATGTTACGGATCTGCTCATTAATTTACATAAACCTTACTAAACTTGCAATAAGCGTAAATGGGATATATTGTGGACATACATTTAGTTTATCTGGTGGAATATACTTAAAAATGTTGGTTATACAGCTTATAAAAGTACTAAACTTGAAAATACACGTTTTATGATCTTATGCTAAACATCTTACTGAATCTTGCTATTCAGGCTTAAAAGACCCCCAAGATACACACTCACCTGTAACAATTAGTTTGCCAGAAGTATGGACATCCTCAGCTTGGAAAGTAATAGTTCCACCATCACTTATCTTCAGCTGGGACATAGTCAAGCAGTGCTTGTTGCCCAGTGCAGTAATGATGATATTGGGTCCTGCCTTTAGTTTCTTTCCATCTTTGCTCCAGGAACCTTCTACATCAGCCTTGCTTAGCTCCACCTCCATAGTGATGGTCTCTTTTTCTTGCACTTTCATCTCTTTTAGGCCTTTAACTATTTGAATCTTCTTAACTAAATGGTAGGGGAAAACAATGGAAATCCATAGATGAAATACTTTTATTTAATAATTTCCTGTATATTCTGATCATAAAATATTAGAGTAACATAATGAAGGAATCCATACTCTCTACTGTCAGTTTGGCCTGGGTCTTGTCATCTAGGGTTTCACATGAGTAATGTCCTCTGTCAGCATACACCACACTCTTGAGGACCAAAGCCTGCTTGGCACCATCCACATGGATCTCCATATTTTCTCCTTGCTGTAGTGCCACACCATTCTTCATCCACTTGACATCTGTTGAGGGTTTACTCAGCTCCACTTCCAAACGAACTGTGTCCTGCTCAGTCACAGTCACATCTGCAAGTTTCTTCTTGAAGGTGACAGGAAGCTCTGCAAAATATGGATACATTTGTATTGAGAAACAGGTATTCTGTGTGCTTCCTGCCGATATGTTGCATTACGCATAACAGCTGTATGTCACTTATCCTTACGTTGTACTTGCAGTGTGGCATTGCACACTTTTCCCTCGGCATCGATACTGATCTCTCCTTCATCCTCCTGAGTGACACCTGTGATGGTGAGGGAATGGCTGCTTCCTCCATGAGCGATCTTAAATTTGGGACTAGCTGTAATAGGAATTTCATTACGCAGCCATCTGACACTCACATCAGCTGGTGTGATGGAGCATTTAAAGATAGCATCTTTGCCTTCATTTGCAACAACATTGTTCAGCCTGGTAGTGAACCTCAACAGACGTGGGGCTGTGGGAAATTAGATTGAAAAGCTGAGAGAAATAATAACGAAGGACATCTATCACTTAAAAAAAGCTTAAGTTGTGTTGGTTCATTTTGATGAGAATTGATGACTTTCAGACATAGACACTAATGGTTTTACCTTTAGTAGTGACTTTGGTGAAAGTCTTGTCATCTTTGCATTCACAACTGTACTCCCCTTCATCCTCCTGAGCCACAGCAGAGACAGTCAAGATGCAGTTGGTGCCATCGGTGCGGACACTGAATCTGCCACCTGGTTTGATTTCTTTACCGTTATGCTTCCAGAGGACACTATCCGTGGCTTTGTTGAGACTGCAGGAAAGTGTCATGGTGCTTTCTAGTACTGCAGACACTGGCTGCAATGGTACCACAAACATTAAAGGTGCATCTGCAGGGAATAGATGAGGGGACAATGAAATCACATTTTGTCTGTGATCAATTAGATTTATTATTTCAATAAGGGCAATTATATCCAACAAAAATTTACTTTGAAAACTCCAGATGTAAAACACATTAATTGAACTGAATTGAAAATAAATAAATATGCAAGAAAAAAAATTATGAAAACTGCCATTAAACTGTTAAAATGAACAAATTTGACCTTGAGAAATTAACACTTTAAACCATTTTTTAACTTTTAAATTGCAAATGAGCTTTTACCTTTGACCTGAACCTTGAACTCCACTTTGTCATCAGCCGTCTGACAAGAGTAGGTGCCGCTGTCTTTAGATTCAGACGACTTAACGATGAGGACATGTGAGCGACCTTCCTGTTTCATCTCATACTTTGATCTGTCATTCAGTTCTACTCCATCCCTGAACCACTTAACACTACAATTCTCTGACATTACCTCGGTTTTTAAAACAACCTTTTCTGTTGACTCAACCATCACAGTTTCTTTTGTCACAGATGTCTTCTGGAATTTGGTAGAAACATCTGAGGAAAAAATAGGAAATAATCACTTAATTGTGACCATGTTCTGGAGGAAGACAAGTATGTGGATTCAAGGAAGTCCACTGATGTGCTAGAAAATCTTACCTTTCACCTGAATCTTGAAGAGAAGTTTCTCATTTCCAACTTCACAGGTATATTCTCCAGCATCCTTCTTCTCCACATTCTCCAGCACCAGCTGACGGCTTTTGCCCTTTGAATCCATGTGGACAGTCTTACTGGAGCTCAATTGCTTGCCATCCTTGAACCATTTCACCTCAGTCTTAAGGTCAGTAACTTCGCAGCTCAGTGTGGCCTTCTGGGAAGCTGCTACTTTGACTTCCTTCTGATAGGAGTCCTTGTTGGTGAAGGCAGCTTGAATGTCTGGTTGGGCAATGGACAATATCAGAAAACAGTATGCTTTGAGTAAATATATCACTCAAGATTATATACAACAGATACGGCAAAGACTGGATGCTTGAGAATTTAGGAAAACAATGTAAACTGCAAATCAATCCACAAAAAAGCTAATTACATTGCAGAATGAAACTTGTTTTTGGATCTGTACCACTGAGATGGGCAACAAATTCTTCTACTTGTCATTGTACCACTTTCTTGAAGACACATTAATAAAATCTTGTGGAATATTTTGATCAAATGCATATATTAAACTCTTTGTTTAACCCAACAGACAAACACAAGGACATTTCCATACCTGTCACTTGAATTTTAAAGGCAAGGTTCTCATTTCCAATTTCACAGGTATATTCTCCAGCATCCTTCTTCTCCACATTCTCCAGCACCAGCTGACGGCTCTTGCCCTTCGACTCCATGTGGATGGTCTTACTGGAGCTCAACTGCTTGCCATCCTTGAACCATTTCACCTCAGTCTTGAAGTCAGAAACTTCACAGTTCAGTGTGGCTTTTTGGGAGGCTGAAACCTTCACTTCCTTCTGATAAGAGTCTTTGTTGGTGAATACAGCTTTGAGCTCTAATAAGATGAGAGTTTACTTAATTCAGAGTTTGCCTATTTACAGAGAAAGTCAACACTAGATTTGCAATTACATTGAATATGACAAGAGACAAGAAATATTTTCATAACAGCTTTTAAATAACCCAAAGAAGACTGTCAAGATGCACAGAACCAAAATTAACAATCCAAAATGGTTTCCATACCTGTCACCTGAATCTTAAATGGCAGCTTTTCATTCCCAACTTCACAGGTATATTCTCCAGCATCCTTTGTCTCCACATTATCCAGCACCACCTGACGGCTCTTGCCCTTTGACTCCATGTGGACAGTCTTACTGGAGCTCAACTGCTTGCAATCTTTGAACCATTTCACCTCAGTCTTGGGGTCAGAAACCTCACAGCTGAGTGTGTCTTTTTGGGAAGCAGCTACTTTGACTTCCTTCTGGTAGAAGTCCTTGTTGGTGAAGGCAGCTTGAATATCTAGTTGGGCAGGTATATTGGAACATGGATCCAATATTAGAAAACAGTAAATATTTTACTTTAAGTAATAGACATCAAATACTGCAAGGACTGAATGGTTGAGAAATCCAGCAGAGATCAAAAATCATAGCATGCATATTAAGCAAACAAATCCAAATCTCACTGTAGACCATTACTTTTTCAGTAGCATTGAAATAAGCAAGTAATTGCTTTTTAGTTTTAAAATTACCTCTTTTTGAACAGAATAATTGCATCACTAAATCTACAAACACAAGTGGTATCACTTTACTTGAAGGGGTGTGCATAAAACTGACATAACACTTTCATAATCATGACATGACATGTCATGAATATGAAGGAGGTTTTATGCATGTTTATGACAACTGTCATTAAGTGTAATTCACTCAGTTATGTCATTTTAATGCAAATATGACATTATTTGACCTAACCCTACCCCTACCCTTACCCCTAACCATAGCCCATAACAAAGACATCTCAAACAATGTCATCTTTGCATTAAAAATGACATAACTGAGTGAATGACACTTAATGACAGTTGTCATAAACATGCATAAAAAACCTTCATATTCATGACATGTGTCATGTCATGATTATGTATGTGTCATGTCATGATTATGAAGGTGTCATGTCAGTCTTATGCACACCCCTTCAAGTAAAGTGTAACCACACAAGTTAATTGTATCTTACTCCAATGGTCTCTTTCACCAAGGACAAACTCTTTTTCTACATGTAAAATTTGCTTTTGTCAAGCTTCACTGATCGATTGTAATTTTGATTTCTTTCATAAAGAAGAAAAATAAAATAGAAACAGAGCCAAGAGACAAACACAAGGATGTTCCCATACCTGTCACCTGAATTTTAAAGGCAAGCTTCTCATTTCCAATTTCACATGTATATTCTCCAGCATCCTTCTTCTCCACATTCTCCAGCACCAGCTGACGGCTCTTGCCCTTTGAATCCATGTGGACAGTCTTACTGGAGCTCAATTGCTTGCCATCCTTGAACCATTTCACCTCAGTCTTAAGGTCAGTAACTTCGCAGCTCAGTGTGGCCTTCTGGGAAGCTGCTACTTTGACTTCCTTCTGATAGGAGTCCTTGTTGGTGAAGGCAGCTTGAATGTCCGGTTGGACAATGGACAATATCAGAAAACGGTATGCTTTGAGTAAATATATCACTCAAGATTATATACAACAGATACGGCAAAGACTGGATGCTTGAGAATTTAGGAAAACAATGTAAACTGCAAATAAATCCACAAAAAAGCTAATTACATTGCAGAATGAAACTTTGTTTTTGTCTTCATGTTTTTGGTTCTGTACCACTGAGATGGGCAACAAATTCTTCTACTTGTCATTGTACCACTTTCTTGAAGACACGTTAATAAAATCTTGTGGAATATTTTGATCAAATGCAATGCATATATCAAACTCTTTGTTTAACCCAACAGACAAACACAAGGACATTTCCATACCTGTCACTTGAATTTTAAAGGCAAGGTTCTCATTTCCAACTTCACAGGTATATTCTCCAGCATCCTTCTTCTCCACATTCTCCAGCACCAGCTGATGGCTCTTGCCCTTTGACTCCATGTGGACGGTCTTACTGGAGCTCAACTGCTTGCCATCCTTGAACCATTTCACCTCAGTCTTGAGGTCAGAAACTTCACAGTTCAGTGTGGCTTTTTGGGAGGCTGAAACCATCACTTCCTTCTGATAAGAGTCTTTGTTGGTAAATACAGCTTTGAGCTCTAACAAGAAGAGAGTTTACTTAATTCAGAGTTTGCCTATTTACAGAGAAAGTCAACACTAGATTTGCAATTACATTGAATATGACAAGAGACAAGAAATATTTTCATAACAGCTTTTAAATAACCCAAAGAAGACTGTCAAGATGCACAGAACCAAAATTAACAATCCAAAATGGTTTCCATACCTGTCACCTGAATCTTAAATGGCAGCTTTTCATTCCCAACTTCACAGGTATATTCTCCAGCATCCTTTGTCTCCACATTATCCAGCACCAGCTGACGGCTCTTGCCCTTTGACTCCATGTGGACAGTCTTACTGGAGCTCAACTGCTTGCAATCTTTGAACCATTTCACCTCAGTCTTGGGGTCAGAAACCTCACAGCTGAGTGTGGCTTTTTGGGAAGCAGCTACTTTGACTTCCTTCTGGTAGAAGTCCTTGTTGGTGAAGGCAGCTTGAATATCTAGTTGGGCAGGCATATTGGAACATGGATCCAATATTAGAAAAGAGTAAATATTTTACTTTAAGTAATAGATATCAAATACTGCAAGGACTGAAAGGTTGAGAAATCCAGCAGAGATCAAAAATCATAGCATGCATATTAAGCAAACAAATCCAAATCTCACTGTAGACCATTACTTTTTCAGTAGCATTGAAATAAGCAAGTAATTGCTTTTTAGTTTTAAAATTACCTATTTTTGAACAGAATAATTGCGTCACTAAATCTACAAACACAAGTTAATTGTATCTTACTCAATGGTCTCTTTCACAAAGGACAAACTCTTTTTCTACATGTAAAATTAGCTTTTGTCAAGCTTCACTGATTGATTGTAATTTTGATTTCTTTCATAAAGAAGAAAAATCAAATAGAAACAGAGCCAAGAGACAAACACAAGGATGTTCCCATACCTGTCACCTGAATTTTAAAGGCAAGCTTCTCATTTCCAACTTCACAGGTATATTCTCCAGCATCCTTCTTCTCCACATTCTCCAGCACCAGCTGACGGCTCTTGCCCTTTGAATCCATGTGGACAGTCTTACTGGAGCTCAATTGCTTGCCATCCTTGAACCATTTCACCTCGGTCTTAAGGTCAGTAACTTCGCAGCTCAGTGTGGCCTTCTGGGAAGCTGCTACTTTGACTTCCTTCTGATAGGAGTCCTTGTTGGTGAAGGCAGCTTGAATGTCTGGTTGGGCAATGGACAATATCAGAAAACAGTATGCTTTGAGTAAATATATCACTCAAGATTATATACAACAGATACGGCAAAGACTGGATGCTTGAGAATTTAGGAAAACAATGTAAACTGCAAATCAATCCACAAAAAAGCTAATTACATTGCAGAATGAAACTTGTTTTTGGATCTGTACCACTGAGATGGGCAACAAATTCTTCTACTTGTCATTGTACCACTTTCTTGAAAACACATTAATAAAATCTTGTGGAATATTTTGATCAAATGCAATGCATATATCAAACTCTTTGTTTAACCCAACAGACAAACACAAGGACATTTCCATACCTGTCACTTGAATTTTAAAGGCAAGGTTCTCATTTCCAACTTCACAGGTATATTCTCCAGCATCCTTCTTCTGCACATTATCCAGCACCAGCTGACGGCTCTTGCCCTTTGACTCCATGTGGACAGTCTTACTGGAGCTCAACTGCTTGCCATCCTTGAACCATTTCACCTCAGTCATGGAGTCAGAAACCTCACAGCTCAGTGTGGCCTTCTGAGAAACTGCTACTCTGACCACTTTCTGGTAGGAATCCTTGTTGGAGAAGGCAGCTTGAATGTCTGGTACAGAAATCAAGATTTAGGAATACAGTAACAGAAACTGCATTTAGTTTTATATAAACATTGGTTTGGACATGGTTGATTGAATCACTGGGACCTTAAAAAAAGTCAAAACACTGATATGTCGTTCTTACCTTCCACCCGAATCTTAAAGGCCAGCTTATCATTTCCAACTTCACAAGTATATTCTCCAGCATCCTTCTTTTCCACATTCTCCAGCACCAGTTGACGGCTCTTGCCCTTTGACTCCACGTGGACAGTCTTACTGGAAATCAACTGCTTGCCATCCTTGAACCATTTCACCTCAGTTTTGGCATCAGAAACTTCACAGCTCAGTGTGGCTATTCGGGAGGCAGAAACCTTCACTTCCTTCTGATAAGAGTCCTTGTTGGAGAAAGCAGCACGAGTTTCTAAAAAGGACATTCATTGTTTTAGTGAAACATCAAAAAGGATGCTGTTCAGGACTGCAAAAAGACCTCAAGCATCTCCAAATGGACAAAAACACACTGGCTTAATAATACATGTTTTGTGCAAATTTCAACAACCTCTAAGTGATTGTTTCCCGGAGACTAATCTGGAAATGTCTGTTTTCAAGTTTATAATAATACATTTTGTATTATTTTTTATTAGCTGTAGGAGCATTTAGAGTTTAGCTTCACAGTTCAAAAACCATAAAGTTATGACATTAATTAGGTATTGTGGCATGTCTGATTAATCCTGCTCATTTAAAATTTTAGTTTTTAGACTAATTAGCGCATAGTCTTACCTTTTATCTTGACCAGGAATGTCATTTTGTCCTCTGCCGTCTCACACGAGTAGTGTCCTTCATCGCTCTGCTTGGCACCCCTGATGACCAGCTTCCTTTGTGTCCCCTGAGATATAAAAGTTGTCCTCTTGTCCTCCATTATTTCTATCTGTTCTTTCTTCCACACAACAGCAGTTCCAGGAGAAGCAACCTCACAGCTCAACACCACGTCGCCCACCAGAGCATCACTCTCCTGGGGCTGAGCCCTCGGCTTGTTAACAAACTTAACTGGTTCTTCTGTTAGGAGAAAATGTAAGATTAGATGCCACACCTCTCTGTGATTTTGACATGATTAGGAATATGAAGCACTCACTACTCAGCACTGATTTAAATTAAACAGCATGCACCACTATGTATTTCTCTACTATTATTTGGCAGGATGCGCTCTTCATTATAATTACAATTTAAAGTTGTTCCACTTTGATGTATGTAAACTAACTGTATATATAATTTGTTATATTTAAGGCTTTAAATATAAATATAGAGGCTATAAAAAACAAGACAACTGAAGGTCAGTAACTGAAGAGGAAAGTGGCTTGTTTCACCTTTAAGGGCAAGTTGGACAGACATTTTATCGCCATCACACATGCATTCATAGATGCCCACGTCCTCACGGTCAACATTGTGGACTGTCAGTATTCGTTTGCGCTCCACACTTGTGGCTTCATATTTTTTACCCATTCTCAGCTCCTTCCCATTCTTCATCCAAACAACCTAAAGCACAGACAGTACATGTAGTTAACTTTCAAAAACAAACAAACAAAAAAACTACATCCCATCATGCCCCCACACATTTATTATACTGTATATTTGGAATTTGTCCCTTTTGTATGGGCAATGTATCTCAAAGTTGGTCGAACAAGACAGTTTAAACTGGGACAGGATAATTTTTTTAATACACCTTTAGTTTATTGTGGATTTCTTTTTTTTTTAGGACAAAAAAAAAAGCATGTTGTCACCTGGACACTTGAATCGGACACTTCTGTGTACATCTGAGCAGAGGAGAGCATGCTGAAAGTAAATACCTCCACCTGAGAAGACTTACTGGTGAAACGTGCAGGTGCGACTAGAGAAGATCAATAAAAAAATATCAGGAACGTTACTGAAGTTATTCTACTTAAGTTTTCCGAAACTGTTCCTTTCTTACCTTTCACACCAAGCGTGGCAACACTCTGAGATCCGCCACCCACAAACTTGACCTGTGCTCCATTCAGTTCCATGGACACCTCCCTGATGACCAGCGTGTGTGTGGTCTTTGAGCGTGTGATCAGATACTCAAATCCACTGCGGATCATTCTGTCATTTATGGTCCAGGAGCTGGAACATACGGCTGAGAGCTCCACAGTGAAGGTTGCTTCTTCACCTACATGTGCACTGCAGTTCACCAGGCCTGTCTTCACTGACGCTGTGGGCTCTGATCAAATACATTTCAATATATTTAATGGAATTCATTGATTTAAAACAGTTTATATTAGTTTAAATATGAAGAACATCGACAGCAAAAAAACTATGTTTTTCTCACCAAGGTAAAACGTTCCAGGAACCTCCAAATAGGCACTCTGACCAAAATCATTGACCGCTGAGATACGGAACTGATAGCTTGCCTCTTCTGGAATTTCACTGATGGTGTATTCAGTGCTAAACACAGTTGTACTAGTGACTTTAACCCAGGTTTGGGCTCCCACCTTCCTGCGCTCCACAATATAGCCGGTGATGGGCACAGGCCGTTCACTGTCTGGTGGAGACCAGCAGAGTGTGATCGATGAATCTGTCTTGTTCCGCACCACTGGCTCAGCTGGGGGATCTGGGGGATGTTTCCTTGGTGCTGAGATCAAAGTTTATAATATTGTTAATCAGGTTAAAGAAATGAAATCTCTCTAAATGTCAAAAGCAATTGTGTTGACTGTTGAAACATTATCAAAGAAATGCACAAGTACAGTCACCACAAAGTAGCAGCGGTGTCATTCGATTTGGTACATACAGTATGACATTTGCAAATTGTAAGAACATAGGAAACCCCTTGTAAAATCTTGTGGAAAGGTTGTGGTCTGATTTACAAATGCATTCACCTGTGACAGAGAAGCGGGTGGATGTCTTGCAGTCATGGGCGATGAAAGCCACCTCACCCGAGTCCTCTGCAGTACATTCACGAATGGTCAGTGTGTACTGTCTGTTAATGCGGGCGATAATAATTCGGGAGTCCTCTTTCAGCCTCTCCCCATTCCTGGTCCAGTATGCATCATCTACTGGTTTCTCCAGTTCCACACAGAAGATCACGGTATCGCTAACCGGCACCACTGTCCTCCTCGGCAGCTTTTTAGTGATGTTGCCTGAAAGTGCAGAGAAAAACCACATGAAGAATATCTTTTGTGTTGCACCAGGTTATTCATCATTCTGGCCACCCATATTGGAATAGAGCTTATACCCAGCACTGTAAGTTCAGCCACAGTGCGGCTGCCTTCCTTCATCTCACAGATGTACACGGCATCATCATTGGTGGTGACATTGTGAATAGTGAGGCGGCGCAGGGTCCCTTCCACATCCATGCGGTACTTGGCATTTTCCTCCAGATGGGTCTCCTCCATAAACCAGCTGGCCTTTGTGTTCTGCACTGGCACCTCACACTGAAGAGTTGCGGTTTCCTTTTCCTTCACCTCGACATCCTGCAGCTTCTTCTTGAACGGAATCTTTGGCTCTGGCAAGGATACATGTTAGTGAGCATACAGAAGACAATTTCTTTTTAGCTGGCAGTCATGATCTGGCAGTGTCCTACAATTTGGTTTCAAATTGATTGGGGCAAATGATAAATACATAGGATGGTTTCACATATAGTATACCTCAGATAAACCTAAGCCAGTTCAGTTAAAGTGAACCAGAAGGGAAACCAGCTGCAAGTGACCTTTGTGGTGTTCACAATACAAGTGGACTTAAACGTGTACCACAAAAGGACCTGCTTGTTTGTGGTTCATTTTGTGGTAGACTTTTAAGTCTACTGTATGTATATTGGGTCCATTTAAGGGGGAAACGCCCTTAAAAAAACAACAGCATATAAGGCAAGAAAAAAGCTGACCATCAAATAAAATAAATGCATTTCTTACATTATATGAGGTTTAATATGTTTGTATCCAGACTGCCTTTGGTTCTACTTTACCAGCTTGAAGTCAATCATTTGAAATCTGAACGTTTACAAAAAAACATCCTTAAATGTCATGAACTTCACACTCCTAATCCCTTTACATGGAAGCCACTGCACTTTGCACTGCAACGTTGGACTCGTATTCTGCAAAGTTTCTGTGACCTTTCTCTTAGGTGCCTGTGGCATGAGAGTCGAGATTAAGATGCAGGAACAAGGTAGCAAAACATTATTGCTACACTTCTGGCTAAAATTAGAACTCTGTATAAATACAGAATGTATACTTCTGTGAAGATCATTATTTTAATGTAGGCTTAGTTAACAAATAATTAGGATATACAGTAGACTAATGCTGCAAACCCTGAAGATGTCACTTGGAAAGTCACCCACATAACGGTGTCAGAAGTGATTTTGCAGCTAGCTATCACAACAACTGTGAACTAATCATCACTAGCAGAAATAGGTGTAATGCTACACCCTCTTTGAACACTTGCAAGCACTTTTGCTAAGCAGAGACTGAACTGAAAGGCAAAGATGACTGTCATTAGTTGATACAATTTTAATGTAAAGGTTGGTGATTTATTAGGGCCAACCGAATTTTAACATGGTCATTATTGTGCTGACTTTCTTTATGATTTCACAAAAGGGGGTTTTACATCTGGCCACTTTTGTTTACTGATTGGCTTATCATTAGGAAAAGACCAAGTGTAAAGCAACAATCCAAGACATAGCAATCCAAAAACTCAAACCACCTCAGGAGGAGACGTACACAAGACATGACTCAGCTAAGTATAAATGGATCTGGTTGTTCAAGCCACAAATGAAAACTCCCAAAAAGGATTACTCCGTTTATGTAAATTTGCAAGCTTCAAACATTATATGGGGTTAAAGTAAACATTAAAGTTTAAAACATTAAAATGTTTCTGCCCCACATTAGAAATAATATCTGCTTTGATCCGAGTGTAAACTGAATGTACATACTCATTCTGACAGCAGATGGATCAATTAGGATGAATAAAGTGGCCAAGAATAAATACCTGCAAACATTATTCTTACCTTTGACAATCACAAGCACAGCGCTATAGGTTTGTCCAGCCAAGTTGGATGCATTGCAGGTGTACAGCCCATTATCACTTTGTTTGCAGTAGAGCACCTTGAGGATGAAATTCTCCGTCTGGTCCTCATACATAACATGTCTGCGGCCCTCACTGATGTTCATCCCATCCTTCCTCCAGATGATCTGAGGTTTGGGATGGCCTGTGACGAAACAGCTAAGCTTTGCATGTTTACCCTCGGTCACCATACAGGTGCGGGTGAACACACCTTTGGGCAACATGCTGGTTAAGGCCGAAACCCTCTGCTCCTGATCACAGGCGAGTCCCAAGCTTCCACGTTCCTCTGTGATCATGGAAGATGAAGCTGTATGCGTGGTTGAGGAACTTTCCATGGTGCGGTATAAGGAGATGTCCTTCCGCATCTCTTCTTTCCGCTTCTGCATGTGTGAGAGGAGGGATGTGCTCTTGTCTGCATTCAGGAGACGAGTATCTTGAAGGTCGACCACCAGAGCAGCAGCGGTCTGAGCACGGCCAATGGAGTTCTGTGCACGGCAGGTGTAGGTACCACTGTCCAAGCTCCGAACACCCTGGATCCTCAAGGAGCTGGATTCATTTTCTGAGGTTATCTTGATGCGGTTGGTCTCACCCAGGTAGCGACCATCCTTTTCCCAGTCAAAGTTGGGTGCTGGATGGGCTGCCACCCGACAATAGAAGGTAACATCACCCCCTACATCCACACGGGAGGAGACAGGCTTTACTGTAAACAATGGGGCCCGATCAATCACAGTTTCCGGCAGTCCCACCTTCAGGGTCACAGCTGCATATGCCTCTCCGACATTGTTCTTGGCACGACACATGTACTGACCGCTGTCTTCTAGAGTTAGATCGTAGATGGTAAGTCGGTAAACATCACCATCTTCTACTGTTTTGAAACGTCCACCTGCAGAAAGAAGCATCTTATCTTTCTCCCAGGTGACTACAGGAACAGGGGTTCCCACAATAGTGCAGCTGAGGGAGGCATCTCGTCCCACGCACAGCGAGAAGGCCTTGGGTCGAGTTAGGAAGCGTGGAGCCCCGCCAAATAGATTTTGATCCATTCCTGCTTTCTGTAGAGATAAAACAACACACTTTAATAAAAGTTAAAGTTGTGGTCAACGCATAGAGGAGAAACATAAGAACTCGAGATTTTATCAAAGTTTTACGTATTTGCACCCTGTCACCATTAAATCTTGCAACTAATCTCAAGGACGTTTATGAAAAGCTGCTTTTCAAATTAGCATACTGTAAGTCAGTCTGAATAAAGTGGGTCTGCTAATGACAAATGTCAAGAAGATCCTTAAATAGCCATTTTGAGAAATGAGAGATGCCTACTTTTAGAGATGCCCACTCAAACCTCTCCAGTGTCCCACAACAAATTTGTGATTATGCTACTTGGTTGAAAGAGGCAAGTGTATAAACAAAGCATTAAAACAAATTTGCCTTATTTGGGAATTCATATTTTTCTGTGTATTTATCATAATGGCACTACACAACCTGAAATGATATACTGTAATAACGTCACTCAAATAAAAAAAATCAGGAGCAATATCTTTGTAGAGCAGGACAAGACATTTATATCTTTGGTCCATTTTCCCAAAAAAGAACAACTGTGAATGTAAAGGGACTAAAAGTTATTGTCATTGTTAAGGAGTTCACTAGTATTTAGATGACATCAGAGCACATGGACTATAAACCACAAAACATGGGTGGTCAAAATGAACATGGTCCACTTTTGACAGAAGTTTACACAGAATGAACAATGTAAAAGAGCCTCGGAAGCCCTGTATGAAGAGGTCATCAACTTGCATCTACTGTCTCCAACAGAACAGTGGCTGATCTAGTGAAATCTCACCACAGAGATTTCACAGGTTGTACTGATGAGGTGGAATTTCAGTATAGCAAAGTTAAACAAAGGGATGTTGGTCTTTGAAAAGCATGACATTGGCCATCTCTAACACCTCACTACCCTGAGCTGCCTGTCCCAAAAATAACCTCAGCTGTCGGGCTCAGTCTGCACTATGTCCATTTGTAGAAGAGATCTGACCTGCTGTGTGATAGGCGCGCTTTTGTCAATGGCATTTTTTCCCCTAAACTTACAAATTTCGTTTCAAAGAGCAACAGACGTTTTCGCCTGTGTGGATCTCTCCTTGCAAAAAAATAAAATCAATAAATAGAAATAAATCGTTTTCGTAATTAAAAGCAACTGAGCAACAATATAATAAATAAACGTAGCCTAATCAATTCAGCCTTGTTGAATTTGCGACATATATCTAATAAAATAACATCGAAACATTGAAAAATCGAGAGAATTAAGTCTTCCCTCAGAATCAGATATTAAAAGTTTCACCTTTCAATATTTCATAACGATAAAAAAAAATAGCCTCTTACCTTTTCCCCCTTAAACTTAAGCTACTTATATAAACCGGTGCAGATGTTCATAAATATCCGATGTTGGCATGTGAAAATATCCTCGTCAAAACAGGTAAATTCCGTGAACTGTAGAGGTGGAGGACAGTGTGTTTTATCCCCCAGTGTCTTTGCTTTCTGTGTGACGCTCCCGTATCGGTCCAACCTCCCGTTGAAAATAGATCCGTCACTTACCGGAGCAAATGTCGGACCGAGGTCAAGTGACTCTTATTGTTGAACAGCCACAGTATGGCAAACCGTTTTAACAGTTTAGGCAGTTTCTCCAAAGCTGTTGAAGTTTCTACAAAGCTATTGTTTTATTTACTTATTGCAGTAACAAATGGCACGTTATTTTTATTACATTCTATGGGCTCAAGGTATCACTATTGCAGTAAATAATTAAACGCGCTGACATGTAGCGGCTTTGGGCTTCGGGCGTCCCGAGTTCGAGTCCCGGCTCCAGTGTTGCCAACTAATTTTCAGAGAAAGTTGCTAAAGGAAGGTCGATTTATTGCTAAATGATGTTGTGATGTCATTGCGTAATCACAACGCAAAATTGTCACATCATCAAATCTCAGCAAAAAATATATTTTATATATGTTAATTTAGATTTGTTTGTAAAATAGTATGCATGATATAAGATTAAAATATAAATAACTGTATTTTAAATACATTGAATTATTGAAAACGTACACATTTTTGAATGATTACAATTTAAGTTTTTTTAGTAGCTAGTAAACTAGTAATTCTACACATTCTCAACAATTGTGCTTTAAGCAGTGTATTAGTAGTTAGTTAGTATGCTACACTCTAAGAAAAGTCTGTAAAAATAAGGCACAATCTACTATGTTAATATGAAATCATTTTCTGTAATGTTTTTTTTCCCCTGCATTTTAAATTACACATTGTGTTTTTGGGTTACAGGGTTACAATGGATGATAGTGTACTAACTGATCAACAATCGCAGGTACAAACTACTAACAAAGTGTATCATAAATGAACAAATATTCAATTATCAAATTATTCAATTATTATTCAATTGAACAATTGCAAATATCAGCTAACTCAATTCTCGTGATGTGTGTACTGCTGTGGTTTCCTCTTTTTGTGTCATTTGGATGGAAAATGTGTGCCTTTTTATAGTCTGAGTCCTTATTAAAAGTTGCTAAAAGTTGCCAAATTAATTTTTGTAAATTGCTAAATTTGTTGCTAGGTGCTTTTGGAAGAAAAAGTTGCTAGGGTAGTCTGAAAAGTTGCTAAATTTAGTAACAAAATTGCTAAGTTGGCAACACTGGACCTTTCCCGATCCCACCCACTTCGCTTGTCCTATCTAATTAAAAGGCATAAAACGCCAAAAAATAAATCTTAAAAAAAAAAAGCATGATTTTAAATTACGTTATGATAAGTATGACAAATCAAGTTGTATTGCTATTAGGCCTATTGTTATTAATACGTTTTTTTTTTGGAAGCATTAATTTTATAAAACATGCTGTATGCTGTTAATACAGTGTTTCATAATACTGACTGATATTTCTCAAGGTTTGTGGCATTTTACCAAAATGATTAACATTCTTTTCCTTTATGAACTTTATATTTGTCATTTGGATGGAAAATGTGTGCCTTTTTATAGTCTGAGTCCTTATTAAAAGTTGCTAAAAGTTGCCAAATTAATTTTTGTAAATTGCTAAATTTGTTGCTAGGTGCTTTTGGAAGAAAAAGTTGCTAGGGTAGTCTGAAAAGTTGCTAAATTTAGTAACAAAATTGCTAAGTTGGCAACACTGGACCTTTCCCGATCCCACCCACTTCGCTTGTCCTATCTAATTAAAAGGCATAAAACGCCAAAAAATAAATCTTAAAAAAAAAAGCATGATTTTAAATTACGTTATGATAAGTATGACAAATCAAGTTGTATTGCTATTAGGCCTATTGTTATTAATACGTTTTTTTTTTGGAAGCATTCATTTTATAAAACATGCTGTATGCTGTTAATACAGTGTTTCATAATACTGACTGATATTTCTCAAGGTTTGTGGCATTTTACCAAAATGATTAACATTCTTTTCCTTTATGAACTTTATATTTAAAGGGACATAAGTATCACTTTTTATTTCTCCTCTTTCCTACTACTCGTTTCACTTCTGTTTCAGTTTTTTATAGCCATTTCTTACTATGTGTCAGTAAGTTGTTTTTTTAGCATGTGTGTTTGGCAGTGTTATTTTTTTTAGGATTACTGATAAACTACTGTCGTTTGATTTGTATTAGTTATCTGTTTTAGTTACAGTTGTAGTAATGTTGTCATTTTATTATGTCTATATAGGCTTTTTATTAAGTTTTAGTTTTATTTAATTTGAGTTATTTCAGTACTTCAACATACAAAATGGAAATGAAATAATAATGTATTTATATATATGTACATGTATATGTGTGTGGCTGTACACACACATATGTAGTTGTTTTTTGGTGTTTGGTTTAGTGTTATGTTTGAATCATTATTATACTCATATTTTTTGTTCTTTTAATATTTTGAATTTTTTAGCTTTATTTATTTTTTATTTATTTAAATGTTTAGTTTTAAAATGTTGTTGTATGCATTTGTCATTTTTATTTAATTTATTTTGTTTTCTTAAATGTGTGTGTGTGTGTATATATAGTATTTATAGAGTTTTAGCTTTTAGTTTTAATTACTTTTTCTTATTTGTAAGTCGCTTTGGATAAAAGCGTCTGCTAAATGACTAAAAGTAAAGTAAAGTAAGTATATTTATACAATCCTGCAAAATTACAGTGTCGATTTAAGCAGTTGGTTTAAATTTTAAAATTCAATTCACCTCAATACAGAAAAAAAAAATATTTGAATACTTATTCATCTGAACCCTCTCACAAACCCTTGTGATGATTTAGTTATTCCTCTACTGATTGTCTCATATTTTCCTGAATGACTAGTGGGTCTTTCCCGTTATCTGTTCCAGCGTGCCTATATATTGATTGACAGCAGCAGATCTGCCAGGCTCACATTTAAAACTGCCTGAAACTCAAGCAGTGGGATCAGTCGAGCTCTTTGGTGAGAGGGTTCATTTTGAGCTCAGCTCTATGCTGCTTTAGGTTGCAAATGTGCCACTTTCACAATCCTGCCTGGTTTTACTGTAAGACAAGTGCTTGCACTGCAATGCTTAAAATATAAATGTCTGGTTATGCAAATTATCCATGATTTCTTCTAAGTACTAGTTCTGTTTAAACTCTACCTACTATAAGTGTTCCCTGCATGGCAACAGATAAACTGATAACACTTTGAGATACATACAGTTCACTGTGGCCAGAGGTAGTATGTATGCCATATATATACAGAATACTATAAATACAAAATGCAGAACAGATCAAGTTGTTTCTAAACGAAGCGAGAAACTTGGCTAATATTAACTTGGAGCTAAATATACTGAATTCTAGCAATGAGATATAGTGGGACGTGGAGCAGTACATTTTTTTTTCTTACCGTCTACTGTACTTCCTCCAGACCTTCCACACCTTTGTGTGATAAATACTTTTGTCTTCTTTTTCTCAAATACATTTAAAATAATGCATTTGAGAAAAACTATTAATTCAGAAGTAGTTTTAGCCCAAATTCATTCACTAGAGTATGTATTAGGTATAGAGAGTGAGTTATTTTAATTCTGAGCTTAATTAAACTAAATTGTGATTTAGCTCTGTGGCTGGAAAATGTTGGCCCTCTACTGGTCAGGCAGAGAAAGTACACAAAAATATATATTTTTTCCCTCCAGAATAACATAAATAAATGCAGCCAAACATATTAATAGTTAAATACATTAATATACATTAATAGTATAATATCAGTCATGTTAATAAAATATATATTTGAATTACATTCTATAGGCACTTTATCTAAAACGATTCTTGAAATACTCTTTAAATGTCCTTCATTACAAAAATCCCTTTTTTTCTAAATCCATTTGGCAAGAAACAACCAATAAAGGTTGCATGAAGCAGCATATACTTGCATAACAAAAAACCTTATATATTGCTATACGAAAAGTAAATTGAGACAAACAGTAGCAAAAAGACTTGCATTAGTGTATCAGGAACTTCAGTAGACTGTACACTGTCAAGAAAACAAGATTTCTAGAGTCTCAAGCATGAATGCCCCCATAACCACAAAACGGACCAATATTTTCTCTTTCTAATGGGTAAGTTTGAAGGTTCACGCCTCTTTGAGTTTGGTGAGCTCCCATTGGCCACCTCCACACAGTCGCAGCATGATATCATGATGCTGTTTAAAGAGCACAAATAAAGAATTCTAAGTACAGGCCATACAAAAGTGTACAATAATGTTTGCCATGTTGTGTTAGTGAATGTGTAACGGTCATAGATCATCACCTTTTCCAGAGTGCTAGGTGACCCGGAGTGATGAGGGTCATTCCCAGCTGTTTACAGGCCTTATAGAGCTGACCCTCAGCCTCCTCAGTCAGAGCGCTAGTGGCTTCATCCAGTACTGAAACAAACTGCATGTCTTACTCATGAATGGGATCATCTGGCTGATTATAGTAATTAAAACTACAGGAAGTTTGATGAGACTATGCAGGAACTGACCTGCATATTTGGGCTGCAGGTAAAACAATCTAGCAAAACAAAGCCTCTGCATTTCTCCTGGCGATAAAACATCATCCCTGTGAAAAACGAGGGAATTTCATTTTTATGTTCTTAAAACTTACACATTGTTTTATATTCAAGATATCAATACTCATTTTTCACCAGTTCCAGTCTACTTTTGTATCCAGTCCTCCAATTCTGGTCAGTAGATTCGACTAACATACAAAATACACAAAGACATGCTACTTACAAAACAAAACAGGAAAATATAAAGAGGAAAGCGTATTGAACTCAAAACATCCTTAGTGATCATATTATAAAATCAATAATAGACATTACAGTATCAGTTAAGTCTTACCAATCCAACAAGTTCCAGGTATTTTAGTATTCGTTCATCATCTATAGAGCCTAAAAGAAGAATTTATATTGGTTAAAAGTATGAAATGTCATCATAATCTATATTTACACCACCAGAAGTGTGTCACTTAATTGGCACAACGATGTTTTCAAGATCTTGACAAGTTTGCAC